TTGCCTATCCCACCATTGGCGGGTGAGCATTCAGCCACTCTGCCCCCGCCCTCTGGAACTCCATGCCATAGTCCCTCCACCTCGTCCCCTCCTTCGCCTCCTTCAAAACCCATCTCAAGACCCTCCAGTTCGACCGTGCCTTCGATCACCCTCCTTCCCCCCTTGCCCTCCACCCTTCCCAATCACGACCCCCAGCTCGGGTCCGAAACACTGACTGTCCAGAGCCTTGGGATGTCCTCCCGACGTGAAAGGCACTTTACAAATGCAATTTTGATGTTGTTATTGTTTTGAGTGCATATTTGTCAGGAAAAGTGGGAGGCATTTTACACAAAGATCCATTACATTAATGACCAATTTATCTGGAGGAGTGTTGTCCAGGACATTGGGTGAAACTCCATCCTCTTTTCAAAGGATCATTAATTACCAAAAGCAGAACCTAAGTTTAATAATAAATAATCCTCGCATTGATATAGCGCATTATCACGTTGTCTCAAAGCGCGTCACAGGATATACTGTAGAGTGGAGTGACTATATATTTCATAGGTGAAACACGGCAAGTAATGCGCACAGCAAAGTCCCAGAAACAGCCATGGAGTGAGCGATCAATTTTATCTGGGGGATTGTTGGCCAGGACACTGGGCGAGATAAACTCCCTCTCTTTCCAAACAGTGCTACAAGGTCTTTAACATCCACCTGAACAGGCAGACGGACTTCTATTTAACGTCTCATCCAAAGGTAATTTTTAATGTCTCATCTGAAAGACAGCGCCTCCGACAATGAAATGTCAGCACTGTTGTCACACTGCCGAGAACGTCAAGCTACAGAGGAGGGGAGGAGACTTGAACCCACAACCTTCTAACCCAGAAACTAACAACAGAGCCAATTCATGGAGTCCTGTCGTGCAATGGTTAGAGCACTCGCCCTCACAACCAAGAGGACCCGGGTTCCATTCCCTGGCAGGGAGGAGCCTGGGCCTACCTTCTCAGGTAGTATAAAGCAAGAGGCGGCAGGGAGTTCAGCTCGGGGGGACGGGGGAGCTGTGGGTGTGGGGGCGGGGAGAGGGCGGAGCGGGGGAACCTCTGACATCATAGTTTAGTTTCAGGAGTGTGCGCACAAAACAAAAAAAAAAAACCTCTGCGTCCCCCCGGGGCTCACATCAGGGACCACCATGGTCCTGTTGGGTTGGCTGCCCCAGCCCATGGGCTGATGCCATCCACCTGACCGTTCGCTCTCGGTCCCCACGTGCGCATTATGGCTACCGCTCTGACCCCAACCCCTCACCCCCTCCCTCCCCTTCCTCTCTCCCCCAAACCCTCCCCCTCTGCATCTCTCCCGCTCTGTCCTCCTCTCTCTCCGTCCCTCTCGCCTTCTATCCCCACTTGACCCTCCCACAACCTCCCTCTGTTCCAGCCTGGGAATCCTCCGCCGGGCTCACCGCGGCACTCGGCGTTGGCTGTCCAGCAGCAGCCACACCGACTGCCCCATTCCCCACCACACTCGCCAGCCACCCCGGACACAGACCCGGGGAGCCAACCTCTCCTCCCTCATCCCCATTCCCCCACCCCTGCCTCACAACCTGGACCCCCTCCCCTCCCACACACCCTTCTGTCAACCGCTCCCTCCACATCGGACTACAAAACGTCCGCTCCCTCTGTAACAAGGCCCTGGTCATCAACGATCTCATCCTTGATGAGAGCGTTGACATCATGGCCTTAACGGAAACCTGGCTCACCCCAGGCGACACCTTCCCCCTCACGGAGGCCACACCACCCGGCTACACCTCCCACCACATCCCCCGCCCCAACCGCCGTGGCGGTGGTGTTGCCCTTATCTCAAGGACACCACTTGCCCTATCCCCCTACTCCTCTGGCTCTTTCCCCTCTTTTGAGCACCTCACCCTCTCCCACCCCTCCTTCCTCTCACTCAAAATCCTCCTCCTCTACCGGCCCCCTAAAACCTCTCCCACCTTCATCTCCGATATTTCGACACTTCTTACATCTCTCTGCCTCTGCTCTGATCGCCTCATCATCCTGGGCGACTTCAACCTGCACTTCACCCCCTCCTGCTCCATCTCCTCAGACTTCTCCTCCCTGCTCTCCTCGCTCAACCTCTCCCTCCACATCAACTCCGCCACTCACAGTTACGGCCACCCACTCGACTTGGTGATCACCCGGGGCCTCAGATGTCACCATTACCGACAAGGCCGTCTCCGATCACCACTTCATCTCCTTCACCACCTCCACCCCCCTCCCCACCTCCACCAGACCCACCACCATCTACTACCGCACCTGGAAGAAGTTACACCCACAATCCCTAACCGCTGCCTTGGAGTCCTCTGTACTCCTCTCCCTTTGGCCTTCAACCCTCACTGACCCCTCTTCTGCTCTCACCCTCCTCCACAACACCCTCTCCTCCACACTCGACACTCTTGCCCCCATCACCTCCCGTACTGTCTCCTACTCTCGCTCCTCCCCCTGGTTCACCACCCACCTCCGCTCACTGAAGAGCCAGGTGCGGGCCACTGAACGCACCTCGGTCAAATCTGGCCTAATGGTCCACTGACAAATCTGGCTGGACCTCCTCAAAATCTACCGCTCCACTCTAGCCTCGGCCAAGTCATCCTTCTGCTCCAGGATAATCCTGGAGGCGAAGAACAACCCCAGGCTACTGTTTTCTACCTCTCCTCTGGCTCTGTTCCCATTCCCCTAAAAACTGCCACCATCACTCCCACTTTGAAAAAACCCTCCCTTGATGCGTCGCAGCTATCAAGCTACCGGCCCATCTCCAACCTCCCCTTCCTGTCCAAGGTCCTTGAAAGAGTCGTCGCCTCCCAGCGGCGCTCTTTCCTCTCCAACCATTCATTATTCGAACCCCTTCAGTCGGGTTTCCGTGCTGCCCATAGCACAGAAACTGCCCTGGTCAAGGTCACCAATGACATCTTGACCATCTGCGACCAGGGCTCCCTCTGCCTCCTCATCCTCCTCGACCTATCGGCAGCATTCGATACGGTCGACCATGCTATCTTCCTCCACCGCTTGTCCTCCCACCTCAACCTTCAAGGCCCTGTCCTGGAGTGGTTTAGGTCGTACCTCTCCCACCGTCTTCATTTTGTTTCCACAAACGGCTTTTCCTCCACCCCCCTGTCTCGTGCGGTGTCCCTCAGGGCTCTGTCCTCTGTCCCCTCCTCTTCACCCTCTCAAGCGCTGACAGCATCAGCATCCAAGGCTGCACTCTCCACCTCTCAAAGTCGGTCAGGAACCTCGGTGTTCTGTTCTATCCTGAGCTGTCCTTTCTTCCTCATATCTGCGCCACAGCTAGCACCGCCTTCCATCATCTCCGAAACATCGCCAGACTACGGCACGACCTCACCCCTCACGCTGCTGAAACTCTGGTCCACGCCTTTATCACCTCAAGGCTGGACTATGGGAACTCTCTCCTCGCCGGCCTTCCCGGCACCTCCCTCCTCAAGCTGCAGGTCATTCAGAACTCTGCAGCTCGTGTACTGTCCCGCACCAGGCTTCACGACCACATCACTCCCACCCTCACTCGCCTCCACTGGCTCCCCATCCCCCAGAGGATCGAATTCAAGATCCTCATCCTCACCTACAAGGCCATTCACAGCCTCGCCCCCTCCTACCTCTCTGACCTACTATCCCCCTACTTACCTGCCTGTCCCCTCCGTTCCTCTGGCTCCGGTCTGCTCCACATCCCCCGCCCCAACCGCCCTACCATCGGTGGCCGGGCCTTCAGCCTCTCAGCCCCGAGGCTCTGGAACTCCATCCCCCAGTGCCTTCGCCGCTTCCTCCCTTTCCTCCTTCAAGGCCGGTCTCAAGACCTTTCTCTTTGACGTTGCCTTCAGCTCCCCTCTCGACTCTCTACCCCTCCCTCGCTCCTCTTCCCTCCCCTCACCCTGACCATTTCCCCCCTCCTTGCTCCCTCCCTTCCCTCCCCTCACCCTGACCATTTCCCCCCTGTTCGGTTCCTGACCCAACTGTCCAGCGCCTTGGGACGTCCTCCGGACGTGAAAGGCGCTCTATAAATGAAATCTTGTTGTTGTTGTTATTGTATCGAACGCAAGGATTAATATTATAATTAACTGTGAAATCCATAGTCATCAGCCCCACCCATTAAGTGGGATGCGTAATGGTACTCACAGCCTCTCATTATCCATCCTCCAATACGGTTAAGATGACCCATTCCTTCACGACTGGATATGTTTCCCCAAAGTGCAATCCACATTCTGGGGGTGGGTGGGGGGGGGGGGGGTTGCTTGACCTGAGATTCTCGAGCAAGGATGCGTAAGCAAGCATCTCTACAGATAGCTGAACCCGCGCCTCTAAAACAAAACTTGCTTTGCAAAAGACAATAGATTAAAACATTTTTTTTTTGGGGTGGGGGGGGGTGGGAAAGAAAAGAGGGAAAGGCACACACAATACATAGAGCAAACAGCAAATGTGTTGGGTGCAAGCTTTCCTTTTTGGAGGATCACATGCCTGGGTTATTGACGTCAGGCTGTGTAATAAAATCAGCCTGTGTGTTCAATCTGTGCAGATTTGGTGTGGTTCAGTGTGAGGCAGACAAGCATTCTCATTGCAAGACTAAATATTTCATAGGAAAGCAAACCTGGGAGATTTCTCTCTGGCTGAAAGAGGTTGATTTATTTGTGTTAGTGCGTGTGTGTGTGCACTTGTGCTGAACGGTAACTTAACTCAAAGTGGGATAGTGGGGTGGGGGGGGGAAGAGATAGAAAGAAACAAAGGGAGAAATCTTGCAAGGTCTTAAGACACTGCGATGAAGTATTTTAGGCACTGGAGAGACAGGTGGAGTGGATGTGTGTTTCTTCAAAGCCTCATTGCGTTTGCCCATTGATTTCACCATTGCAAAGGATTTTGTTCTTGCCCATTGCTGGTGCTGTGGCTGCTGTCTTACATCTCTCCTGGTGCGTGCTTTGAATGGTTAATAATTAATATTATTTGATAATATTGGTGATAATTGTGTGTGTGTGTGTGTGTGAGACTTTGCAATGGATTCACTGCTGGAAGCTTGCACTGATCTGCAGACCAATATCAGCCAGTTGTGCCAGATGAACTCCAGCCTGGGTTCCTCCAGTCTCTGCGCCAACTCTGGCTCCTTCCCCTGCAATGGGACCACCAACAGCAATCAATCCGTCAAGAACCCTTCATCTGTGATCATCGCCATCATCATCACGGCTCTCTACTCCATCGTGTGTGTGCTGGGGCTGATCGGAAACGTTCTGGTCATGTATGTCATTATCAGGTAAGAATATTTTCCTTTATACAATACAGAGAGAGAGAGCATTCAGATCCCGACCTCTCAACAACAACAACAACAAGATTCCATTTATAAAGCGCCTTTCACGTCAGGAGGACGTCCCAAGGCGCTCTCCTCCTCTTGCAACCAACACACCATCCATCACCCCTTCCCCTGCAGCACATTTTATCCACACTCCATCCTACAAAAAGATTCTCTCTCTCTCTCTCTCTCTGTCTCTGCCTCACTCCCGTCTTCTCTCCATTTCTCCCTCTGTCTCTCCCTCTCCTCTCTCTCTCTCTTCCCCATCGGGTCCTTATGTTCCTTTATCCCACTCGCTGTGCATTGGAACTGTTTGTCAATTCATGTCGATTTCATCTGCACCAAATAATCCAGAGTTTGTTTCCTCCCCAGAGGCTCGTTTTGTTGTAATAATATTCATTGGCATAATGGCATTATATATCATTGGCGTTCATTATATATATACATATATATTATTTATGTATAGGTGTTATGAGTTAATATGTGTATGCTGATTAGCTACTGTTCCACTGGTTTCAGATCACCTTGTTTTATATATGCTGTATATAAACAAAAGTACCATATCAATATTTAAACTCTATTATAGATTATATATACTGTATATATTTAATATATTTTCCCAGCAATGAAACCACATGTATTGTAGATATGTGTATATTTTTAACATATATGTTATACATATATATGTGTTTATATATTTTTACACACGGATTTATGCACTGTATATATGGAAGGAAAAAACGTGACTGCATGTAAAGTTTAGAATTGTTTTGATTAAAATTGTGTGTTTTTTAATTTAAAGCAAGTAAGTGGGTTAGTTTTGACACTGTCGTAGTAAAACTCTCCTCAAGGGGGTAGTTAAATACATAATTTATATAGCTATATTATACATACAGGCTCTTCTGTATTCTGCATTGAATGCCTGTCAATTTCCTTGCTTTATTTTTCTCTCCTTATAAACCCACACACGCACCAAACAGCGTTGCAGTCTCTGTGCAGCAAATCTGCCCTAAAAGCTTGGCTACTGTGCAATTTTTTTTTTGAAAAGCGCCCCCTTTTTGGAGTGAGAGATGAATTTCATCTGCATGGATAACGAAATCCTGTGTGGTAAAAACACACACTTTTGCCAGCTGTAACCTGCTGTGTTTGCTGATCGCTTGAGAATTTCTGTGAGTTAATACGTGGCTCACCCATAGTGTGTGGTGTGTGCTTGTCCTCTCCTACTACCTGCTGGTTTCAGCTCACTTTGGTTTTTTTATGTATGTGTATATATACTGTGGCTGCTGCATTTTGCCCACAAAATGTACGGTCACTACACTTTACAGTATATTCCGTGAAGCGCTTTGACACGTCTCGGGGACACGATAAGGCGCTATATCAATTGGGATTATTATATACCACATCGGTGTTAAAAGCTGCTGCGTTGCAAACTTGATGATAGTTCACCAAAGTGTCAAAATTCACCCACTTTCTCTTTTGTTTTAAATAAAATACACGCGCACAATTTTAAATAAAAATAATTATGAACTTTACCTGCAGTCACGATTGTTTTCCTTCCATTTCATCCCCAATCTCGTTCTCTCTCTCTCTCTCTCTCTCTCTCTGTCTTTTTATCTGAGCCATCCTTTTTCTTTCTACCACCACATGCATTTTTCTCATTCATAAGTTCACCTTTTGTATTTCTTCCAGTATCCGTCAGAAGGTGAGAGCAACTTTTTTTTACACACACACACACACGTACGAACGTAAGAATTGAAATTGAAATTAAAGTGATTTGACTCTATTTTGTGGGCAAAACGCGGCAGCCAATTGCACACAGCAGTGTCCCGCAAACAGCCTTGGACTGAAGTGACCAATTTTAGTATTATTATTCTGTTTTTTTGAAGGAATTATTACCCCGGAAAAGCGATCCGCCAATCGACTAACAACCGGGTTCCTAGTTACTGCTGCGTAAACAGAAGTAACTTGCCCAACATTTTGCCCGGCCGGGAATCGAACCCAGGTCTCTCGCTTGCGAGGCGAGTGCTCTAACCACCGAGCTACAGGATTATGTATTGTTTCCTGAGATACTATTTCCGAACAGAAATCAATCTAATTTGTTCTTGAAGCAGATGCAGTTTAAAACGTATTCAGTTGAAAAAAAAAACACATAGCAAGTTTTTTTTTAAAAAGTTTTCTTTTTTTGGGGGGGGGGGGGGGTCGAAACTCAGAATTTTCCAACTCTCTTTTCAAGTGCGTGGGGTTCCAGCATGCACTCAGCGTGGCCCAGACTTCCCACCAGGAAGCTCACGGGGAGATCCTGGTACCGGCCATCCACCCGGTGAAGGCTCAAACCCCCACTTGTCGGATGTCTGATGACCGACTTGTGACGATCCTCCTGTGGGGGAGGTGGTCGGAATCGAGCCAGTCCTCTGTGACGGTCTCTAGTCCTGTTCCTGAGCCGGGCAGGTCCACAGTATTCCAAGGCACTGTCATCACACCCCAGCCTGGCTCATCGGCAGGACTTGGCAGGCAGATCAGTCACTGGGGGCAGGGAATCCACCCCCTCAGCTCCTGTTCACCCTGCAAGCCAATTAACGAGTCGGGTGCCACAACCGTGATATCAATGGCCAGCTTTGTGGTGTTAGCTGGTTAGACTGCAGCAGTTATCCCAATGCGCACACCGGGGTCCCCAAGCCTTGACACTTGCCAACAACCTGCTCCTAATACTCTCTGGATTTAGGTAAACTGAATACGTCTTTCCAGGGAGAGAGAGCGCATTCCATTCCCAACAATCTCCCTCTGGGATTTCCAGGTGTAGATGGGAGCCATGGAATTCTCAGTTTGGTTTGGATACTCTTAAACACGGTGATGGGTTTCCGCACGTGTCAGACACCCGGCCGACCAGAAATATATATCCAGCATTTTAAGGGTTGAAAACGTTTCCCTCTGGTTACGCTACGCTGGAGCTTTGGTCACATAGCACCACTCAATGGACTGATGTGGAAGTGCATTGCCCGTTGTCTCCATCCTTCCCCCCCCCCCCCCACCCACCCACCTCCCTCCCACCCATCCTCCAAACCCTTTGCTCACGTATTGTAAGAACTGAAGGTATTTTTGTGATCTGCAAAGGGTTATAGAATATTGTGTCCATTGTCACAAGTGGCTGTCGGTGTCAAAAGCAGAACATGGCAAAGGGGTTAATAATAATGATAATCCTTGCATTTGATATAGCGCTCATCACATCATTGAGACGTCTCAAAGCGCTTCAAAGAATATATTGAAGAGTGGGTTGACTGTGTATTTTGTGGGCAAAATGTGGCAGCCAATTGCACACAGCAGTGTCCCACAAATAGTCATGGATTGAGTGAACAATTTTTTTTAAGGGTTTATTACCCCCACAGAGCGATCCAACAATCGACTAACAACCGGGTTCCTCCATACTGCTTGGTAAACAGAGGTACGTGGAGTAAGGAAACTTGCCTAATGTTTTGCCGCACTCAGGAATTGAACCCGCGTCCTCTTGCTTGCGAGGCGAGCTCTAACCACTAAATCCCGACATGAAAGGCATTATACAAATGCAATCTTGTTGTTGTTGTAAGTTACATGGATATATGAAGGATAGAGGCTTGAAGGGGTGTGGGTATAGGGCAGGGCAGTGGGATTATAATAAGTCTTGCATTAAATATAGAGCTTTTCACATCTTCTAGACGTCACAAAAGTACTTCTCAGAATATACTCTAAAGTGAATTGACTGTATATTTGTGGGCAAAATGCGGCAGCCAATTGCACACAGCAGCGTCCCACAAACAGTCGTGGATTGAGTGAGATCTGATACCAAAAGGTGGATTGAATGAACACCTTTCTCTGTGAGCCGATGCAGACTTCAATGGGCCGAATGGCCTCCTTCTGTGTTGTACATTTCTATGATTTTATGAAACTAGAAAGTGATGACAAGTTGAATAAGTTCTGTCAACAGTCTCGGTAAGTGGTGGAGGTACCAGGATACTACTGCTTTTGGGTTCCCTGCTGTTAACACTATTCTATACAATTGCATTGAAGAGGGCATTTTCTGTACTATTATATTTCAGTTCTGACACCAAATTATAGAGCCAGTAGTCAGAGTTTCACAGCACAGTAGAAAACCATCGCGATCATTCCTCCACTCCCTGCTAACCACTCTGCTACCAATTTCCCAGCTCTTTTCCTTTACCCTTTTGACATTGTTTCTCTTCAAATATTCAAATATTCATCCAATTTCTCTTTCAGATATTATAATGTAAGATTCAATAGACATTTGTGGAAAATGTTCCATGTTTCTACAAACCCATCGACCGTCAGTGCCTTGGGACGTCCTCACGACGTGAAAGGCGTGATATAAATGTAATTTGTTGTTCTGCATCACAAAAAAAAATTCTTCTGATTTCTAAGGGAAAACCTAGAAAACCTATAATCTTTGTAGTTGATATAGTGCCTTTTCACATCATTGAGACATCTCAAAGCGCTTCACAAAATATATTTTAAGTGGATTAACTGTGCAATTTGTGGACTAAGCACAGCAGCCATTTGCACACCAGCAGTGTTCCAAGAATAGTTGTGTTTTGGATGACCAAATTCTTTTTTTGGAGGGGTTGGGGATTACTACCCCTGGAAATTGATCGCTAATTGACTAACAACCGGGTTCCTACTTGCTGCTAGGTAAACAGAGGCGTGTGGAATAAGGAAACTTGCCTAAGGTTCTTCCCCAACCAAATATACCACCTTAATACCAACTCACTAACCAGCGGGAATAACCTTTCACTATTTATCCTCTTAAAACCTCTCAGAATTTTGAAGACCTCAGTTGAGATCCCCTCTTAATGTTCTCTGTTCCAATGAAACCTATGATGAGTATATGAGTTGATTATATTTTTAATCAAAGGCATATGGAACAATTACACACGTGGGCTGAATTGCAACCAGACAGGCCAATTGACAAAGCAAGTGGGTTTTGTTTTTATATCCTGGGCATAAGAGAAAATAGCAGGGAATTCATGTCACATTTTGTACAAGACATGGGTTAAGCCTCAGATGGAGTATTCTGGCCAGTTTTGGACACTCCATTATAGTTCCCTTACTCCACACGCCTAGCAGGAAGCAGGAAATAAGAACCTGGCTCTTAGTCGTTTGGCAGATTGCTTTTCCTGTTATAACCCCTTCAAAAAAAAATGTTGTCACTCAGTCCATGACTGCTGTGTGCAATTGGCTGCTGTGTTTCGCCCAGAAAGTATACATTCAATTCACTTTACAGTATATTCTGTGAAGCGCTTTGAGACGTCTCAAAGACGTGATTAGGCACTATATCAAATGCAAGGATTATTATTGTTACTGACACTGCACTGACACGGGGCCGCGCTGTGATCTGCATTTTTCAGATACACTAAAATGAAAACCGCCACTAACATATACATCTTCAACCTGGCTGTGGCTGATGCATTGGCCACCAGCACTCTGCCTTTCCAAAACGTTAATTACCTGATGGGGACCTGGCCGTTTGGGAACCACTTGTGCAAGCTGGTCATGTCCATAGACTACTACAACATGTTCACCAGTATCTTCACCCTGACCACTATGAGTATGGACCGCTACATCGCAGTGTGCCACCCAGTCAAGGCGCTGGACTTTCGCACTCCCAAAAATGCCAAGATCATCAACATCTGCATCTGGATCCTGTCCTCGGCCATCGGCCTGCCGGTCATGGTAATGGCAACCACGCTGGTGGAGAAAGGTGAGAGCTTTACTTTTTTTACACACACTGGAGCCGGGAGGGTTATGGGGTGAAGCGATTGAGGGCTTCGAGATTGCAGCATCACTAAGTTGCATTTACACGGCGCCCTTCACAAGGTGCATAATTATTATTATTTGTTCACAGTTTACTTAGGGTGGTCCAACTGGCCGATTTCACCCAGCCCTCTCTCCATTTCATCTGAACCATTTGCTCCCTCCATAACCTATAAATGCTATGCTATGTTTATGGAAGGGAAACACAAAAATATTGCTTATGCTGCCCGCGGGCATGTTTCATAGGGCATCCAGCCATCATCAGCCAAAAGGTTGGACGACCCTGATTTACTATATATTTATATATCCACAAACTAAACAGGTAACTTTGAAATGACATCAGGTCACACTGAAATAAGAATTTTTAAAATCCTTGCATTTGATACAATGCCTTTCACGTCAGGGACACACAACAACAAATTACATTTGTATAGCGGTTTTCACGTCGGGAGGACATCACACAACACCTCAAAGTACTTCACAGGATTTACAACAATTTACACAGCGCTCTTCATTCAGGGTAGTGTCTCGGAGCTCAATCAAGAAAAACCTAGAACCACACTACCGATCAAACACGGACTTACCTAGACCCGTGCGAATGTCCAAAGGGCCTCTTCTTGATGGTCTTGTGGGCCAGAATTGGCCCATGGGCTCTAGTTTGGCTGGCACTGATCTAAATGTGCTTCAAAGCCTGTTCTTTTGGTGGCAACTCAATTGATCTCCTATTACTGACTCGTCCTTCCGATGAGACTTTAAACTGAGGTTCCGTCTCCATGTCCAGGTGGATGTTAAAGATCCTTTGACATAATTGCTCAATTGGCTGCTGCATTTCGCCCATAAAATAGTTAATCCACTTTATGATATATCCTATGAAGCACTTCTGAGACGTTTCAATGACATGATAAAGCGCTATATCAATTTCAAGGAATATTATTATTTATTCTAGGGGTCATGGACTGCGCGTTGAAATTTCCTCATCCTTCTTGGTACTGGGACAACCTGCTGAAGATCTGCGTCTTCATCTTCGCCTTCGTCATGCCGGTGCTGATCATCACCGTGTGCTACGGCCTCATGATCCTGCGGCTGAAGAGCGTGCGCATGTTCTCAGGCTCCAAGGAGAAGGACCGGAACCTGCGGAGGATCACCAGGATGGTCCTCGTGGTGGTGGCCGTGTTCATTGTCTGCTGGACGCCCATCCACATCTATGTCATCATTCAGGCATTGATCAAGATACCCTCCAATCTGTTCACCACCATCACCTGGCACTTCTGTATCGCGCTGGGCTACACCAACAGCTGCCTGAACCCCGTTCTCTACGCCTTCTTGGACGAGAACTTCAAGCGATGTTTCCGGGAGTTCTGCCTGCCCACCTCGGCCTTGGGCATTGAGCAGCAGGGTTCCAACAGAACCCGCAACCACAACCGCGAGCACCCATCCACCATCAACACGGCTGACAGGACTAACCATCAGGTATGACTAGGCGTGGAGACCTTATCCCTGGAATGGCAGTCCCACCCGGGAGATGATCTGAGCTCGGAGATCACGCAGACCACCACAGGGGTATAGTGTGTAACGCGCCCAGAGGCGGGTGTTGGGCAGAAGTGCCCATTTCAACAAGCCTTCTCCGAGACTGACTTTGACCCAACTTCTGACAATTTCCTGCATGTTTTCTCACTTGATGCCCAGGAATTAAACCTGGGCCCTCTTGCTTGTGAGGCGACCGTGCCAACCACAACACTACAGGGAAATTAAGATATTGGCCTGGATCAGTCAGTACCAACCTCACTTCTGATTTGGATCAAGCTTCACATTGGGACTTTGACTGCCAGGTTTGCCTATAAAACTAACAATCACTGCATAGAATCTTACAGTGCAAAAGGCCATTCGGTCCATCGTGCCAGTCCTGGCTCTTTGAAAGAGCCACCCAACCAGTCCCACTCCCCCATTCTTGCGCGATAGTCCTGCAAATTTTTCCTTTTCAAGTACCTATCTAAATTCCCTTTTGAAAGCTAATATGGAGTTTGCTTCCACCACCCTGTCAGGAGCTGCATTCCTGATCAACTCGCTTGGGGAAAAACATTCCCCGTCTCCCCTCTGGTTCTTTTGCCAGAGGTGCTCGTAAATTTACTGGCGAGGATTCCATCCATCCTGTTTTTCCCCTATTCTCTTCTTGTTGTATTCAGTTACCCCTCATGTTAACCCCTCCCCTTCCCAATTCACCCTGTTCTTTACGTGAAGTGTCGTGAGAATATGGAACAGACTCCTTCCTTAGAAGAGTCAATTGAGACATTGGAGGAGAGACACCTGGTTAACTTTGTGGGGTCAATCTTATCTTATTTAAGTAATTAAGGTTGTTACTGTTATACTATTATTAATAATAATATTCCTTGTATTTGATATAGCACCTTATCACGTCGTTGAGACGTCTCAAAGCGCTTCACAAAATATACTGTAAAGTGTCGTGACTTGTGTATTTTGTATCATTAACATTCGATAAATTATCATTAGGTGGCGTATTCCCTCTCCCAGCTTGTTTGACCCCTTTTTTGGGGGGAACCACACAATTCTTTGTAAAACCTCTTGTTTAGCCTCAGTCTGTAAAAAGAATGAAACACCACCGAATTTCGGTAGTATCCTAAATCCTAAAGCCAAATAGGCCTCACAGACTAAGGTTGAGGTGGAATTTGATCAGCAGGAAAATTGGGGGGAAAATCCAAGCCAATCCCAGGAAAAGGGAAATTAGAAAAGGCGGGGATAAGGCCATTCAACTGACTGAAGCTCATCCCTTCCTGGATGTCCCTTTTGTCCACCGTTCCACCATTAGTGGCTGTGCTTTCAGCCACTGCTCCCCAAAACTCTGGAACACTCTTCCTCAATCCCTCTGCCTTGCCCCCTCCTGCCCCATCTTCAGGTCGTGCCTGAAGACCTTCCTCTTCGACCTTGCCTATGTTCACACACCCCCCCACCCCCACCCCCAGCTCGTGAATCACAAGTCATTGCTGTCCAGTGGACTGAGTTTTTGTAGGCAAAGACTATGGCAAACACTAAGGCCATTTTACATGTAGCAAGTTTTGAGATCAATGACCAGTGGATCTGGAGGACTTTTAGCCAGGACACCTGGAGAAGCTCCCTTCTCGCTCTTTTTTATTCAAATAACATTGTGGAATCTTGAACATCCACCTGGAAAAGTGAACAGATGGTACCTTTGAAGGTCTCCTTGAAGGATGACATCTCCCGACAATGCAGAGCTCCCCCCACTACTGTAATGGAGTGTCAGCCGAGACCAGGACCAAGTCAAGTCAGACCAAGTCATTTTCAGTGTTTGAACTGCGACTCAGTGTAAATCAACTCCTCTTTGAAGAGGAAAGGGTTTTCTTTCTATAACACTGTTTTCCAGAAATTCCTGCAACACTATTTGAAGTAACGTTCGGGACTGTGATGTGCCAAAAGTTAAGAGCTTTTTTGAGTTTGCGACAACATATTTTCATGATTTGTACAATAAACAACAACTTGCATTTACGTAGCGCCCTTTACGCGGGGTAGCATTTTGGAGCACTGAACTATGGTTGTAAACTGTCTCATATGAGACTTAAAGATTTATTCTGTACTGGAATACTTGTGGGGGGGTTGGGGAGGGGGGGTTATTACAGATAATGTATGCATGGATGTTTTTTATGTTTCCTCCAAAGTGATGTTAAAGTTGAATTGAACAATAATGAGTTATTTCATTTCCCCTCAAACGCAAACAAAAATATCTGAGCCACTGAGCAAGAAAGAGCTTACATTTCTGTAACGTCTCGTCACAACCCAACATCTGAAAGGAAATTATTTTCTCAAGCCAGGAGCCAGCCTATCTCTAATGGTGGCACTCTCACCTCGTGAGTCAGAAGGTTATGGGTTCAAGCCCCGTGTCATGACTTTGAACTCACATAGTCTCGCCAGACACTGTAATGCAGTGCTGGGGTTGTGTGCGTTTGCTGGAGGCTCCTTCCTTTAGATGAGACGTTAAATCAAGGTTTTGTTAAAGATCCCGTGGGCACTATTCGAAAGGAGATGGCAGTTTCTCCCAGTTTCCTGGCCAATATTCCCCTAAATAAAATATGCGATTCATTTCAAAGCTGTTTATAGGACATTGCTGTGTTCAAATTGATTGCCATGTACGCCTACAAAATATGTTACAGTAAATCCTGTGAAGCACTTTGAGATGTTCTCACAATGTATAAGGAACTATTATCAGAGAATCATAGAATTACAAGGCACAGAAGGAGGCCATTCAGTCCATCGTGTCTGTTCCGGCTCTTTGAAAAGAGCTATCCCATTCAATCCCACTCCCCCGCGCTCTCCCCATAGCCCTGCAAGTGTCCTCCCCAAATAATTATCTACTTCTCTCTTAAAAGCTGTTATTGAATCGGCTTCCACCAGCCTTTCAGGCAATGGATTCCAGATCCCAACAACTCACTGTGTGAAAAAATTTCACCTCGCCTCTGTTTCTTTTAACAACTATTTTAAATTTGTGTCCTCGGGTTACCCGCCAGTGGAAATAATTTCTCCTTGTTCACCCTATCGAATCCCTCAAAATTTTTCAAAACTTCTATTAAGTCTCCTCTTAATCTTCTCTGTCCAAGGAGAATAATCCCGGCTTCTCCAGCCTCTCCTGATAACTGAAGTCCCTCATTCCTGGTACCATCTTAGTAAATTTCCTTTGCACCCTCTACAATGGCTTGACATTCTTCCTAAAGTCTGGGGCCCAGAACTGTGGACCTATTCCTACATAAGTGGAATTATATCTCATGGAAATAAAAACGGAAGTTGCTGGGAACACTCGGCAGGTCAGGCAGCATCTATGGAAAGAGGGAAGTGGGTTAATGTTTCAGGTCACAATCGGGGATTGTTGGAAGGGAGCAGTTGATAAGGACAAACAGAGAAGGTGGCGGGAAAACAAAGACAAAGGAAACATTTAGATGGAGGATAGGAGGTGATGAGATCACAAAGGCAATAGTTAATCGAAATATGATTATTATTATTTATAAACCAACAGTCGTGTGACTCAGAAAATGCTCCCACTGAGGCCAAGCAAACGCAGAATGTAATCATACGTCCTGAAATGGACAGAGCATCTTTTAAAATAATAATAACAACAATATCGAGCTGGGAGGAAGGTGCAAATTTTTGTGCCCGAAGACAGGGACGGGTTTTTTGCACTGCCCGGGTGTTATTGCTGCTCAAGCATTATTAAAATGTCCTACAAAGAGCCGTGAAGTGAATGTTGAATTTTATATTGGGGGATTGTTGGCGCTTCTCTTTTCCATCGTCACAGGATCTTTAATGTCCACCTGAACAGGCAACAGAGCCTTGTCTTAACATCTCATCCAAAGAACGGCACCTCCGACAAGAATAATAATAATAATCCTTGGATTCGAAATCGAGCCTTATCACATTATTAAGACGTCTTAAAGAGTTTCACAGAATATTATTGTGAAGCGAATTGACTGTTCGCTTTACAATATATTCAAGTGAACCAATTGAGCACAGCGGTGTCCCACAGACACTAGTGGATCGAGTGACCAAATGATTTTTTCGGGAGGGATTATTTACTCCCGATAAGCAATCCGCCAATCGACTAACAACCAATGTACAGCTCACACAATAGTGCACTGGAGTGTCAGCCTAAGCAGTGAGCTCAGCATCCTGACATGATGGAATAACAATTGCCTCCAACTGAGCCAAACTGACACCACATTATATATTGTGCACAATAAATGTGGTGTCAAAAATCCTTCACCCTCTGAGTTCTTTTGAAGTGTAGTGTTATAATAATAATACTTGCACATTATGTAGCACCTTTCACATCAGGAGGAAATCTCAAAGCACTTCACAGTCAAGTGGAAAAACAATACACGGTAAAGTGGAGTGCTAGTGCTTTGTGGGCGAACACGTCAGCTAATTTGCGCACAGCAATGTCCCACAAACAGTCGTGAATTGAATGACCAATTTTCTCTGGGGGATTATTGGCCAGGACACCAGGAGAAATTCTCTTCTCTTTTTAAATAGACAGAAGGGACTTGAGGTTTACGTCACATTTGAAGGACAGTGCCTCCGACGCTCGTGTTCCCCCAGGACTGTATTGGAATGTCAGCCTTCAATGTGAGCTCAAATAACACCAACTTGCATTTATGTAGGGCCCTTCATGTGGGGTCGTGTCTCGGAGTGTCCCTCCTCCCACCCAAACCCGCTAGTCAGCAGCCTGTCTAGCTCAGGGTGAGTGACAAATGTGCAAAGCACTTTGAGACATCTTCCCTGACATGAAAGGTGCTTATACAAATTAAAATTGTTGTTGTTGCTGTCCTCCCAGTTGGGAAGAGGGTGGATGTTGAACAGGGAGGTCAAGTTAACAAGCTTGCCCTCCAGATACTGTCCCGTTGTCTTCTCCCGTCTCTCTTTCCCCCCCAAAGTTCCCCCGCCTTCACAGTAAAAGAATCCTTGCATTTGAAATAGTGCCTTATCACATCTTTGAGGCATCTCAAAGCGCGTCACAGGATCTAGTGTAAAGTGAATTGGCTGTATATTTTGTGGGCAGCAGTGTTCCACAACATGGATTGAGATCAATTTTTTCAAGAGATTATTACCCCCAGAAAGCGACCACCAATTGACTAACAACAGGTTCCTTCTTACTGCAAGGTAAACAGAGATGTGTGGAGTAAGGAAACTTGCCTAAAATTTCTCCCTGCCCGGGAACTGAACCCAGTTCCTCCCACTTGTGAGGTGAGTGCTCTAACCAACACACTACAGGATTCCACTAGGCTCCATGGTTATCAAGACATGGCCCCACACATAGGGTGACCATACGTCCCCAGATGAGGTATTATGTCCCTGAAGCCAAATTTGTCCTGTCTTGAGCGACAAACTAAGCAAGAACAATAAATTTCCATTAAAAATTGGTGACTCAATCCACGACTGTTTGTGGAAGCACTGCTGTGCGCAATTGGCTGCCGTGTTTCACCCACAAATATACAGTCAAATCACTTGACAGTATATTCTGAGAAGCGCTTTTGAGACTTCTCAATGACACGATAAGGCTCTGTATCAAATGCAGGGATTATTATTAAAACGGATACACCAGAGAATCACAGCGATTGATCCAACTCGCTTCTCCAGTCCTACCAGCGTCAAGAACTGTGCTGAGTTCAACTGTGTTTGTATTTGTCCATTATAATAATAATAGATTGGTTTGAATGACCCTCTTCACCTAAACAAATAGCCCCGAACCCGGATAGTGCTTGAGACATATGCAAAAGTATTTTCAGACCTCCAGATGGCGACATAACCTTAAAGGAAAAACTTTTTCTTCGTTCCTCCGGGTCTGGCCTCCTCCTCATCCCCCGAGTCCTCCGCTCCACCCTCAGCGGCTGTGCCTTCAGCCACTATGCCCCGAGGCTCTGGAACTCCCTCCACCCCCCGGCTCGGCCGCGGGATCCGTTACTGTGAAGCGCTCTGAGACGCCGTCCGGCGTGGAGGGCACTATATAAATCCAAGTTGTTGTTGCTGTGAGGCGGGGAATGAGCACATGAGGGCGGTTGGCTGCGGCGGCCATCTTGAGTGAGGCAGCGAGTGAGCACAGGCTGCGGCGGCCATCTTGAGTGAGGCGGGGAGTGAGCACAGGCGGGCGGTTGGCCGCGGCGGCCATCTTGAGTGAGGCGGGGAGTGAGCACAGGCTGCGGCGGCCATCTTGAGTGAGGCGGGGCGTGAGCACAGGCGGGCGGGTTGGCTGCGGCGGCCATCTTGAGTGAGGCGGGGAGTGAGTACAGGCGGGCGGGTTGGCTGCGGCGGCCATCTTCTCTGTGTGCCGGTCTCTCAGTCGGTCGCTCGCTCGCTCGCCTCCCGGGAGCCATGACGGACCGTTATAACATCCACAGTCAGCTGGAGCACCTGCAGAGTAAGTATATCGGCACGGGCCACGCCGACACCACCAAGTGGGAGTGGCTGGTCAACCAGCACCGCGACAGCTACGCCTCGTACATGGGTCACTTCGACCTCCTCAACTACTTCGCTGTGGCCGAGAACGAGACCAAGGCCCGGGTCCGCTTCAACCTCATGGAGAAGATGCTGCAGCCCTGCGGCCCCCCGCCCGACAAGCCTGAGGAGGCCTGAGAGCAGGGGAGAGGCCCGGGGGGGAAGCGGGGGATTGTGAGGAGAGGAGAGACTTGAGGAGAAAGATGACGAGGGCGGAGAAGTCGAGAGAGAGGAGGAAGAGCAGAAAGGAGGAGAGGAGAGCAAAAGAGAGAGAGAGAGAGAGAGAGAGGGGGTGGGGCAGAAGAGGAGAGGAGGAAAAGAAGAGAAGAGACCGAGGAGGAGACGAAGAAGAAGAAGAAGAAGAGGAGCGCAATGTTGTCCGGTCGGGGAGTTACTGTGCGCGGAGTAAAGAACAGTTGCCTCATTTTTTTTTAGTGTAAACCAGCAATAGAGAGGAGACGGAGAAGAGACGGCCCCGACCCTCTCTCCACGGACTCTCACAGGCGCCGCAATAACGGGAAATCTCCCCTCCCGACCTCATCGACGGTGGCTCAAGACTGGGATAGACCCAGGAATTACCCTCCCTCCCTCCCTCCCTCGTTGCCGCGTTGGACGCCACCGCTTTGCCCACAAATTGCACCATGTGGCGCCACTTTACGGTCAATCCTCCGTGACATGCGATAAGGCACTGGGTCAAATGCAAGGATGATTATTAAGTTTATCCCCGAACAGTGGCGGGAAAGACTCAAAAGGCGAAGTACTGCGGCTGCTGGGGAATCTGAAATAAGAACAGAAGTCGCTGGGAACACTCAGCAGGTTAGGCAGCATCTACGGAGAGAGGAAACTGCATTCACATTTCAGGTGTTTGACCTTTCGTCAGGGGAAAGGCTCATCCGCATACCTCCGATCAACTAAGATGCCTAAAGACTCGGTCAGACTTTCTCTGTCTCCTTCCTCCACTCCATAATAAGCCGTCAAACAGCGGCAAGAGACACATCCCCCCTCTCCACCAAAAACAAGAGACTTCTGGAAAATTCAACAGGAATGATTTTCTCTCCCTCTATCCCCCCCCCCCCCCCCCTCCCCCCATGATAAAATATGAAAGCAACCATCTCACCTTTTCTCAGGCCTGTGAAAACTGCTCGAAGTACCAGCGGTGAAATCCCTCCAATTTTCAGCTTTGTTCAAAACTTCTCTTACCCTGAACAGCAATGTGAAAGGGGCCAAGATCATCCGATACAAGAACCGGTGTTCGAAAAAAGGATATCTGTACAAATATCTCAGACTCGGATCTAATCTCTCTTTACTTAGCAGCTCTGGGGAAGACGGCAATAATACAATAACATCGTATAGCCAGAATACCCCCTTGTAAGAAACTCTTGACTCACAAGCGTGAAGACATGTCAACATCTGGGGCTGCCTTGGATTATCACAGATGCTCAAACCACTGAGCTCCACACTGTTGGCATGATGTACGATGACTAACTGCCACCTTTCCAGCAAATTCAAGACTTGTTTGAATGAAGGGAAATGAACGTGGCTGAAATTGTACGTAACTTCTTCCCTGTTTGAAAGTCCTGAAATTTCTGTAATGGCCTTACAATCCAAACTACTGTGTAATGTATATATCGCTGCTGTGTGGGTTAATGTGGGATATTTTCCTAGTTTTTTGATAGATAATTTGTAATAAATGGGAACATTCCATTTTTTTCTTGGACAGTTTGTTACTGCTGTGCTTTTAGGACTTCCAACGTGAAAGGCGCTTGACAAATGTAATTTTATTGTTGTTTACATGCCGGCTGTTATAATGCACCACAATACAGCACAGGTCCACTTGCAGTGTAATCGGACGGTAGAACTCCACTGGAAGAAGCCCACTACCTCTTTCTTTCCACTATTTCAAAGGAAAATGGTACATTTTTCCCTGTTATCCAAATTTGTATTCTGAACAATTTGGTCACTCAATCCACGACTGTTTGCAGGACACTGCTGTGTGCAATTGGCTGCCACGTTTCTCCCACAAAATATTCAGACAATTTACTTTACAGTATATTCTGTGAAGCGCTTTGAGACTTCTCAATGACGTGATAGGGCACTATATCAAAAGCAAGGATTCTTATAAGGATAAAACCATAGAAATTTACAACACAGAAGATTCGACCTTAGGCAAGTTTCCTTACTCCACGCGCCTCTGTTTACGCAACAGTAAGTAGGAACAAGTTTGTTAGTCGATTGGCGGATCACTTTCTGGGGGTAATAATCCCTTCAAAGATAACAATTTGGTCACTCAATCCACGACTCTGCAATTAGCTACAACAAATTACAAAGTCAATCCACTTTATAGTATATCCTGTGAAGCATTTTGAGACGCCGCAACAAGGATCATTATTATTATCACGTCTGTGCCGGCTCTTGACTGTCGCAGGCAGCGGAGTGGTCAAATAGAACAAGGAGGTGGAGAGAGAGAGAGCTCTGATCACAGGTGGAGCACATTTTCATTTCGCTTTATTTTGTCTTGGTTGGGGGAGGGCTGGAGTTTCAAACGAGAAGCTGTTGATGGTAAGTCAGCAGGGACACAGCAGCGAACCGCAAAACCGTGCAATACCGAGCCGGTTACTGCCTCCTGTACTGTGACCTGGGAAGTAATCACAAAACAAACAAATGCACAAGCAAACACTCCTTCTCCCAGAAGGTAACTGTTCATTGGAAACAGACTGCATTTTGCTGTTGATACATTTTCCAAAAAGACTGGGGTGGCGTTCCAAAAGGTGGGGGCAAAAAGGCTGAAGGCCCGATGGTGGGATGGGCCAGGCGGGGGTCGAGGAGCAGCCAGAGCCTGCTGAGCGGACAAGTCGGTAGCGGGTTAGCAGGTCAGAGAGGTAGGGAGGAGCAAGGCCGTGTAGGATTCTGAAGGTGATGATGAGCATTTTGACCTCTCGCCAGTTCTCTTGGGACATATATTGTATTTACAATGGTTGACTTTTGACTGTCAGTCAGTGGGCTTAAAATTGGATTTTCATTGCAGAGGTAGTGAAGGGGATTCGTTAATTCAGGCGTTCAAGTATACTTTTTAGGTCCACAGTCTTACACTCACACACATATATACACCTTTCAAATCTCATGTTGGAGGCCAATAATAACTCCAAAATCCTATTCTCCACCGACCACCATCTCCTCTGCACCCCCTCAAGCCCCTCAATCATCACATCTAATGCCAAGTGCGAAAAGATCACCTCCAAAATTGCCAACATCCGTCTGACAGTTTCACCCCTCTGCCCCATGTTGCCTACCACTACCCCCATTCCATCTCCCTAACCCACCCGACCTCAGCTCGTCAAAGTCACAAACAATATCTGTGCCCAGGGCTCTCTCTACCTCCTCGTCCTGGACCTCTCCAGGATACAGTTCGATACTGTTGATCACGCCATCCTCCACCTCCTGTCCTCCATCATCACTTCAGTGGGACCGCACTCACTTGGTTTGAGTCCTACCTCACAAACCACCAGCACTACATTTTACAAATATTTTTTCTTCTCGCTATCGTCCAGTCACTTGCGGGATACCCCAGGGATCCATCCTTGGCCCCTTCTCTTCCTTATCTATATGCTCCCTCTCGGTGATGTCATCTGCAGACACGGGGTTAACTTCCACATCTATGCGGATGACACTCAACTCTACTTTTCCACCTCCAGCTGCGACCCCCAGGCCCCTGATGTACTGTCAGCTTGTCTGACAGACACCAAGAGCTGAATGAGCTCAAATTTCCTGCAGTTAAACGTCAACAAGACGGAAGCCATACTCTGGCTCCCATCGACATTTTCTGTCCCACAGTTTCGACCTCCTCAACCTACCCGACCTGTCCTTAAAACTCTCCGAACCCGTGTGCAGCATAGGCATCAGGTTCCACCCCCAGTTATCCTTCCTCCCACACATCCAGTCCCTGACCAGCACCACTTTATTCCACCTCCGCCACATTGCACCGTCTACGATAATACCTCACCCCAAAAGATGCCAAAACCCTTGGCCATATCTTTGTCACCTCTCGGCTGAACTACCCTAACGCCCTCCTCACCGGTCTCCCCTCCTCCACTTCACAAAATCCAGCTCATTCAAAACTCCGTCACCTGCATTCTCACCCGCACCAAACCCCGATTACCCCAGTTCTTGCCAAACTCCACCGGCACCCTGTCACAGAGCGGATCAACTTCAAGATCCTCACTCTAGTGTTTAAATCCCTCCATTCCTTGTCACCCTCCTATCTCTAACCTCCTCTCCCCACAGCAGTACGCGCTGCCTCCGCTCTACTGGGTCTGGCCTCTTCGGTGTCCCCCGAATCCTCCGCTCCAACATTGGCGGCCATGCCTTCAGCCTCTATGCCTCCCTCAATCCCTTCGCCTCGCCCCCTCCTTCCCTATCTTCAGGTCATGCCTGAAGACCTTCCTCTTTGACCGCGCCTAATGGTCACCTTCCCCCTCCCCCTGGCTCAGCCACGGGCTCATTGTTAAGCTCTGAGACACCGCCCAGCGTGCTACATAAATGCAAGTTGTTATTGTTGTTGAAAGCATCCATGTGCACAACAGTGCACATACACCTGTACACATGGACATTTACACATCTGGACCCTCATATTACACATACCTGTATGCAAGCAAGCACATCTACGTGCTCACATACATGCCTGCGTACAGACACAAACACCTGCGCTCACAAACACGTACGCTATGCTGTCTCCACTCACTCTTGACCCATTGGAGTTTTCACAATGCCTCTCACGGTGGCATGCATCATGGCACTGCTGGATGGCACGTCATTTCTTCCTGAAATCCGAAAGAGACAGTTTCACAGTAAAACACGAGCCAGAATGTGAAGTCAGTCAGACATCATCACAACAGGGCCAGAACCAAAGTTATATAATACACATATTGTGGAGTCCTGTAGCTCAGTGGTTAGAGCGCTCGCCTTGCAAGCGAGGCACCTGGGTTCAATTCCAGGCAGAGGGCGAAACCTTGGGCAAGTTTCTTTCCTTAGTCCACACACCTAATAATAATCCCTCCAAAAACAAAAACAATAATAAATCAGTCATTTTCAATCCACGACTGTTTGTGGGGACGCTGCTGTGCGCAATTGGCTGCTGCGTTTCGCCCACAAATGTACAGTCAATTCGCTTTACAGCATATTCTGTGAAGCGCTTTGAGACGTCTAGAAGACGTGAAAAGCGCTATATCAAATGCAAGGATTATTATTATTGTTGTTATAATAATCCTTACATTTGATACAGCGCCTTACCACATCATTGAGATGTCTCAAAGCACTTCACAGAATACCCCGATGTGAAAGGTGTTATACAAATATAATTTTGGATTGTATATTGTAAAGTGGATTGGCTGTGTGCTTTGTAGGCAAAACGCGGCAGCCAATTGTCCCACAAACAGTCATGGATTGAGTCACCACATTTTTATTTGGAGGGATTATTACCCCCGGAAAGCGATCCGCCAATCGAACACAACTGGGTTCCTACTTACTGCTGGTAAATAGAGGCGTGTGGAGTAAGGAAACTTGCCTAAGGTTTCGCCCTGTCCGGGAATCGAACGCAGGTCCTCACCCTTGCAAGGCGAGTGCTTTAACCACTGCACGACGGGACTCCATTGCATCATAGAATCTTGCTGACAAACACTTTGCAGCGCTGTCGTGTTTTGAGCCATTTTGACCCAGAATACGCTGTACAAGGCAGGTTCTTACCTACTGACATTAGCATTTGGTTGGTGTTCACCGCTGCTCGTGCCGCGCTGGTCACTGTCCCTCTCACAGGGTAGCTCGGCATCTTGTGAGGGTCAGACAACAGGGAAGAAAGACGGTGAGCGTTTGTGAAACCAAATCCTCAGCAAGTCTTCACAGGTCACAGCGCGGGGGGGGGGGGGGGCAAACTTTGGGCTACCAGATTTCGGAAACATCCGCGGCCGCACAGGCAATATTTTGTCCTGATTGGCCAGTCCCATTGCAACGCCTGTATTTGCTCACCAGACAATGAAGTTGGGAATGGTTCCTGCACCAAATAAAATCATCTCTGAGCCGTACGTGACCTGTGGGCCACCAGTTAGACTAACCTGGTTTACACTAAGCATACAGCAGCCCCAGGCCAACTACCCTAACCCCAGCTCAGGTACCCAGCCGCCACGATCACACGGAAGACATCCCCCTTACATGAACAACAACTTGTATTTATATAGCGCCCCAGACGTGGGGCAGCATCTCGGAGCGCTTAACAGTGGCGGAGCTTGACACCGAACCAGGGGGAGGGAGGAGGTGACCGTAAGCATGGCCGAAGACTAAGATCCGTCGTGATCTAAAAGAGATCTAAAACTGTCGTAAATTACTGCCACACCAACCAGTAGAAATCATTTCTCCCTGCTGACTGTCAAAACCCCTCATTATTTTAAAGACTTTGATCAGATCACCCTTAAACCATCTCTGTTCCAGCAGAAAATGTCCCAGTTCCTCCAGTCTCCACTCATAGGCCAAATCGCTCATCCCTGGTATCATCCTGGTGAATCTCCCCAACACGTCTTTTGCTTTGACGCTGTTCCAATAGTCAGGTGACCAAAACCGAACACAATATTCAAACTGAGATCTAACTAATGATTCATAAGAACAACAACTTGCATTTATATAGTGTTCTTCACGTGGGGTGGCATCTCAGAGTGCTTATAAGTTTAGCATTACCTCCTTACTTTTATATTCAATATCCATATTTATAATTTATATTTATCTTTGCGAGCGAGAGACCTGAGTTCAATTCCAGGCAGAGGGCGAAACCTTGGGCAAGTTTCCTTACTCCACACAGAGCCTAATAATAATCCCTCCTAAACCAAAACAATAATAAATTGGTCATTTTCAATCCACGACTGTTTGTGGGACATTGCTGTGCGCAATTGGCTGCCGCGTTCGCCCACAAATATACAGTCAATTCACTTTACAGTGTGTTCTGTGAAGCGCTTTGGGAGGTCCTCCCGACGTGAAAAGCGCTATATCAAATGCAAACATTATTATTATTATTATTATTATAAAACCTAAGATTCCATTAGCTTTTTTGAAAGGAGCTGCACAAATATTATTAATAATCATAATCCTTGCATTTGACATAGCGCCTTATCACGTGGTTGAGACGTCTCAAAGTGCTTCACGGAATATGTTGTGGAGTGGATTGACTATGTATTTTGTGGGAAAAACGTGGCAGCAAATTGCACACAGCAGTGTCACACAAACAGTCACGGGCTGAGTAATCAAATCCTCCCCTACAGTTTTTACATAAGTTTTTTTACATAAGTGTAAAGTGTAGTAGTATCTACAGCTTGACTACACCAACTGCCAGCTCATTAGACTTCCCAACGCTTCCCTCCACAAGCTGCAGATTATTCAGAACTCTGCAGCTCGTGTCCTCTCCTGCACCAGACTCCGCAAACCAATCACCCCTGTTCTTGTCCAGCTTCACTGGCTCCCCATCCCTCAGAGAATCGAGTACAAAACCCTCATTCTCACCTTCAAAGCACTCCATGGTTTTGCTCGCCTCTACCTCTCTGAACACCTAACCTCATATCAGCCTGTCCGCTCCCTCCACTTGGCGGACACCGGCCTGCTTCAGGTTCCCCGCACTTCCTGCCCCACCATTGGCTGTCGAGCATTCAGCATCTCTGCCCCCACACTCTGAAACACTATCCCATAATCTCTCCACCTCATTGCCTCCTTCAAGTCCCGTCTAAAGACCTTCCGTGCTCATCATGCCTTCAGCCACCCTCCCGCGCCCCTGCCCTCCATCCCTCCTGACCCCAACTCGAGTCCAAAAACTCCCGACTGTCCAGCGACCGAGGATGTCTTTCCGACATGAAGGGCGCTATACAAGTGTGATTTGTTATGATTCAGGGACACTGGTAATCTTTCACGTACAGGACAAGTGCCTTTGCATATAGTTTACACACAGCACCTAATAATAACCAATCCTGATTCATATTCTTATCCGCTAAACTGTGTAATGTTCCGAGCCAGAGATTAGTGTTGGTGGGTCAGTGGATACATACCGGTACTCTCGATGTCTGTTGCTGTGGGTAGGAATGGGGAGGGGATTGTGGATAGGACTGGGAAGGGGACTGTGGGTAGGACTGGGAAGGGGACTGTGGGTAGGACTGGGAAGGGGACTGTGGGTAGGACTGGGAAGGGGGCCGTTGGTAGGACTGAGAAGGGCCCTGTGGCTGGGACTGGGAAGGGGACTGTGGGTAGGACTGGGAAGGGGACTGTGGGTAGGACTGGGAAGGGGGCCGTTGGTAGGACTGAGAAGGGCCCTGTGGCTGGGACTGGGAAGGGGACTGTGGGTAGGACTGGGAAGGGGGCCTGTGGTAGGACTGGGGAGGGGCATGTGGGTGGGACTGGGAAGGGGGCCGGTGGTAGGACTGGGGCGAAGACTGTGGATAAGACTGAGAAGGCGGCTGCTGATAAGACTGGGCAGGGACTTGTGAGGCCATCCCTGGGTTGGTGACGTGCTTGGTTGCCATCTGGACGTACGGCATGTTGGAGGCTTGCGGGGGGATGTAGGAGGTGGACGGCTGGGGACTGGGCCGTGCCAGCACCCGGCGGTTAGTGTTGGTCTTGCAGAAGTTGATGTGACGGGGGGCTGCGGTTTCATTGAAACGCCTCAGGCAGTATGGGCACTCCACGTAATCTGTGGGGCAAAGCAGAAGCAGAATCAACAACAACAAAATTACATTTGTAAAGCGCTTTTCACTTCAGGAGGACATTCCAAGGCGCTGGACAGGCAGAGTTAGGGACCTGAGCTGAGGGTCGGGGGGTGGGGGTGGAGAAGTGGGGGAAGCAGGGAGATCGAAAGCACGGTCGAAGAGATGGGTCTTGAGATGGGTCTTGAAGGAGGCAAACGAGGGGGCAGGGCGGAGAGGCTGCGGGATGGAGTTCCAGAGGGTAGGGGAAGAGTGGCAGAAGGCCGGCCCACCGATAATGGGGCAAGCGAGGCAGGGGACGTGAAGCAGGCCAGAGCCCGCTGAGCGGAGGGAGCGAACAGGATGGTAGGAGGTTAGGAGGTCGCAGAGCTAGGGGGGAGCAAGACTGTGGAGGTTTGAAGGTGAGGACCGAGATCTTGAACTGTATCCTCTGTGTGATGGGAAGCCAGTGGAGTCGGGCGAGGATGGGGGTGATAGAGTCACGGAGTTTGGTGCAGGAGAGGTCACGAGCTGCAGAGTTCTGGATGATCTGCAGCCTGTGGAGGGAGGTGTTGGGGAGGCCGACAAGCAATGAGTTTGCATAGTCGAGCCTCGATGTAATGAAGGCGTGTGTGAGGGTTTCGGTGGCCTGCGGTGTGAGACAGTGGCAGAGTCGGGCGATGTTGCGGAGGTGGGGGAAGGAAGAACGGGTCATGGCGCAGATGTGGGGTGGAAAGGATAGTTGAGGGTCAAACAATACCCCAAGGTTCCGGACTGGCTTAGCGAGGTGGAGTGTGCAACCATGGGTCCATCTTCAAGAAAGAGATTGACAGATGTTTGGTAGGTCGGGGTATTAAGGGATACAGTGAGAAAGCAGGAAATTGGATTTGAAATTCTAGTAAAGATATAGATCAGCCATGATCTAATTAAATGGCGGAACAGGCTCGACGGGCTGAATGGCCTACTCCTGTTCCTATGCTCCTATGGATGGTGATGCTATCAGCGCCTGAGGTGAGGAGGCGCTGACGGGAGCCAATCAGCCTCGGTCTTGTTGACATTCAACTGAATCAGCAACAACAACAACAATATAATACAATCCTTGCATTTCATATAGCGCCTTATCATGTCTTCATGACGTCTCAAAGCGCTTCACAGAAGAAACTGTAAACTGGATTCACTGTACATTTTATGGGTGAAACGCAGCAGCCAATTATGTACAATAGTGTCCCACAAATAGTCTTGGATTAAAGTGACATATTATTTATTTTTTTAAGGAATTATTACCCCAAAAAAACCCGCCAATCGACTGACAACCAGATTCCTACTTTCTACTAGGTAAACAGAGGCGTGTAATAATAATAATAATAATTAATAACAATAATCCTTGCATTTGATAGAGCGCTTTTCACATCTTCTCGACGTCTCAAAGTGCTTCACAGAATATGCTGTAAAGTGAATTGACCGTACATTTGTGGGCTGTGTGGAGTAAAGAAACTTGCCCAACATTTCGCCCTGCCCAGGAATCGAACCCAGGTGTCTTGCTTGCGAGGCGAGGGCCCTAATCACTGAGATACAGGACTCCACATGCCATGCCTCAAACTATATATTGTATTGCAAGATATTATTTCTTAACAGAATTACACAGAATTCCTATCGGACATTACATGTCCCTGTGTTCTTAGAAGGTGACACAGCATATAGTTAATCACTGTCACACCTGGATTGATGCTTGGGGGTGGTGGGGGTGGGAGAGGGAGACCCTTCGCAATGGCATCTGTAGCTGTCCTGGCCGATCTGATGGATGTGATGAAATCCTCATGTTGTTGCCTCCAGTTTGTTGTACCGCCGACTCTCATCTGTAACAGCAATAAGGCAGCGTGGTGTCACTGTAATACCCCACTACACACACCATGTGTGGTATTGCTGTAATACCCCACTACACACACCATGTGTGGTATTACTGTAATACCCCACTACACACACCATGTGTGGTATTGCTGTAATACCCCACTACACACACCATGTGTGGTATTACTGTAATACCCCACTACACACACCATGTGTGGTATTGCTGTAATACCCCACTACACACACCGTGTGTGGTATTACTGTAATACCCCACTACACACACCGTGTGTGGTATTACTGTAATACCCCACTACACACACCGTGTGTGGTATTACTGTAATACCCCACTACACACACCGTGTGTGGTATTACTGTAATACCCCACTACACACACCGTGTGTGGTATTACTGTAATACCCCACTACACACACCGTGTGTGGTATTACTGTAATACCCCACTACACACACCGTGTGTGGTATTACTGTAATACCCCACTACACACACCGTGTGTGGTATTACTGTAATACCCCACTACACACACCATGTGTGGTGTCACTGTAAATACCCCACTACACACACCGTGTGTGGTATTACTGTAATACCCCACTACACACACCGTGTGTGGTATTACTGTAATACCCCACTACACACACCATGTGTGGTGTCACTGTAAATACCCCTACACCCAACCTCATGTGTTGTATAAGCACTCCCAGGTCAGCTACAGGCACGGGTTAGATACACAGTAAAGCTCGCTCTACACTGTCCATCCAGCACTCCCTGGCTTATGCTGACACATCACTGAAACTAAAACAAGAACAATCTGTATGGTGAACTTGGTTGATCGCTTTGGCTTCTGGATTTAAAGACTGTGGGACTTTGAAATCACAAAGTCCCATAGTTCGAGGTGATGTTGGTTGGATAGGACATCAAACCAAGTCTCTGTCTGTGCCTGTTCAGGTAAGATCCTCCAGATAAATTGGTCACCCACCTCATGACTGCTTGTGGGAGACCTGTGTGCAAACTGACTGGATGCTAAAGATCCTAAGACAAGAATTGAAAAGAGAAGGGAACTTGCTCCCAGAGTCCTGGCTGACAATCCCCCAATTAAAAATTCATCATTTTGTTTGAATGGCACGTGCAAATTGATTGCGTTTCCCCACAAAAACGTCCCTACAGTTGACAGTTTCATATGCACTGTATATCAAACCCAATGTTCTTTTTCTACGTGACTAAGATGGGGGGGCGGGTGGGGGGGATTGGAGACGAAGTGGGGAGGGGAGGGGGAAGAAGTTGCAAATGTTAACACGTTATACACTATGGCAAGCTTTGTTGTTTTAGTTGGTTAGACTCCAGCAGTTACCGCAACACCACACCCGGGGGCCTGAAGCTCTGGCTCTTGACAGCCTACGCCTAATACTCTCCATAATTAGGTAAGCAGGAAACGTCCCTCCAGAGAGAGAGAGAGAGCGCACTGCATTCCAACAATCTCTCTCTGGGATTTCCATGTGTAGGTGGGATGCGTGGAATTCTCAATTTGGTTTGCATAATCTTAAACACGGTAATGGATCTCCGCATGTGTCCGACACCCGGCTGACCCCAAAAAAATGTAGCAAGGATAAATCTGTGAGATATTGTCCAAGTAATAATAATAATAATAATCCTTGCATTTGATATAGTGCCTTATCATTTCTTCGAGACGTCTCAAAGCGCTTCGCTGAATATGCTGTTAAGTGAATTGACTGTATATTTTGTTGGCGAAAGACGGCAGCCAATTGCACACAGCAGCGTCCCCACAAACAGTCGTGGATTGAGTGACCAAATTATTAATATTATTTTTTTGTAGGGATTGTTATCCTCTCGGAAAAGCAATCCGCCAATCGACTAGCAACCGGGTTCCTACTTACTGTTCGGTAAACAGAGGCGAGTGGAGTAAGTAAGGAAACTTGCCTAAGGTTTCGCCCTGACCAGGAATCTAACCCGGGTCCTCTCGCTTGCGAGGCGATTGCTCTAACCACTACACTACAGGACTCCACAAGTACCATGTTATACGACAGTGATTTTTCAGTATTAAAATTCACTGTACCTTCGGTGCGTTAGATGACCTGACTGAACCGATGCCTGTGCCAGAGATCCTTTGTTTCTGGGAATTAAAGAGACGATGTTTCTTCGAAGAGACGCTGTTGCAAATCGTTTCATGTCTGGACTGTGCATGCAAAAAAAAAACATGTAAAAAAACCCGAATCTTTCCAGATTTAAGAAAGAAAACTACGTTTTTACAGGTGAAACGGTCTCCAAGAACTTTTGGAGTGATTAGTGTCGAGTGTACCAGAATGATGCTATAGATGAGGAGGAACTTCAGTTATGTGGAGAGACTAGAGAGGCTCGAATTATTCTCCTTAGAGGAGAGGAGGTTGAGAGGATATTTAATAGATGTGTTCAATATGAGGGATTTTGATGAGTAGATAGGGAGAAACTGTTTTCTCTGGCGGGTGGGTCAGTAACCAGAGGACACAGATTTAAGATAATTTGCAAAAGAACCAGAGGGGAGACGGGGGAGAATTTTTTTTACCCAGAGAGTTGTTACGGTCTGAAATACATTGCCTGAAAGGGTGGTGGAAGCAGATTCAATAGTAACTTTCAGAAGGGAAATGGATAGGTACTTAAAATGGAAAAATGATCCCATGGCACTATTCAAATAGAAGGGAGTTTCTCTCTCCTGATGTCTTGGCCAACAATACCCCAAATAGAATTGGTCACTCACTCCATGGCTATTTGTGGGACATTGCTGTGCGCAAATTGGTTGCCCACAGTCATTATTAGACTTCACGGTAAAATCAGGTGAAGCACTTTGAGATGTCTTCCTGACGTGAGAGGCGCGACATCAAATATAAAGGATAATTAACAGCACACAGCCTCAGGGCTAAAGCAAGGATTGTGGGAGAAAGGAATACATCCCACCACTGTGTCGGAGGGTTAGCATAGGGATTTAAACCCCATGTCAGAACTGAGAAGCCACATAGTGTTTTTCTGGTCAGCCGGGTGTCTGACACATACGGAAACCCATCACTGTGCTTACGAATATCCAAACCAAACTGAGAATTCCATACATCCCACCTACACGTGGAAATTGCAAATACATTGCTGGAATGGAATGTGCACTCTCTCCCTGGAGGGATGCATCCCGCTGACCTAATTATAGAGAGTATTAGGCACAGGTTGGCAGGAGTCAAGCCTTGGGGTCCGCAGAATGTGTGTTGGGGTAACTGCTGGAGTCTGACCATCTAAAACCACGTAGCTTGCCATTCAGAGCACTGTTTGGCACGCTTTACTACTGCTTGTCTAGCTAGGACCACCCTACCCATCGGGGCCTTGGCTTGCAGGGTTAACGGGAACTGAGTGGGAGGATTTCCTGCCGCCAGTGACTGGTCTGTCATCAGCAGTGCCCTGGAATACTGCGGACCCGCCTGGCTCAGGAACCGGACTAGAGACCGTCACAGAGGGCTCAATTCCGACATTCTGTTTACCATAAATGTCACCTTGGAGCCGGTTCAGCTCCAAGCAGACTCCCAGGCAGTGCTGGGGGTACCCTGCGTTCTGTGAGAAGCGTAAGAATTAGAGAGAATAATTCATAACAGAAGATCTTACCAAGGATGCAGGGTTGAACTTTCTGGTACAGAACCTACACGGTTCGACGTTTGCATTCTCTTCTGTGCTCAGGAAAGAGGAAGAATATGTTACAGTTATGTTATCTGTTCTGATTTGGTTCAGATCATACCTCTCCCACCGTCTCTATTTCATCACAAATGGCTTCTCCTCTAACCCCCGCACTCGTGCGGAGTTCCTAGGGGCTCAGTCCTTGATCCCCTCCTCTTCAATATCTATATGCTCCCTCTGGGTGACATCGTCCGCAGACATGGGGTCAACTTCTACATGTATGCGGATGACACCTAACTCTATCTCTCTGCCTCCACCCTGAACTCCAGGACCCCCTACCTCTGTGACTTTCTAACACCCTTTCAAGATGCACGCTCCCTCCGCTCAGCGGGCTCTGGCCTGCTTTACGTCGCCCGCCTTGCCCACCCGACCACTAGCGGGTGGCCTTCTGCCACTCTGTCCCCACCCTCTGGAACTCCATCCCGCAGTCCCTCCGCCTCGCCCCCCCCCCCCCTCCCTTGCCACCTTCAAGAGCCATCTCAAGACCTTCCTCTTCGACCGTGTCTTTGGTCACCCTCCCCGATCCCGACCACCAGTTCAGGTCTGAAACACTGATTGTCCAGCGCCTTGGGACGTCCTCCCAATGTGAAAGGCACTATACATATAATAATAATAATCCTTGCATTTGATATAGCGCTTTTCACGTCTTCTCGACGTCTCAAAGAGCTTCACAGAATATGATGTAAAGTGAATTAACAGTATATTTGTGGGCGAAACGTGGCACCAATTGCGCACAGCAGTGTCCCACAAACAGTCGTGGATTGAGAATGACCAATTTATTATTGTTTTGTTTTTTGGAGGGATTATTATCAGGGGTGTGGGATAAGGAAACTTGCCCAAGGTTTTGCCCTGCCTGGAATTGAACCCAGGTCTCCCGCTTGCAAAGCGAGTGCTCTAACCACTGAGCTACAGGACGCATATATATATATATTATATACATTGAACATTTGGAAGTACTAGCTCTTTCACCTTTTTAAAAAAATCAGCCATCAAATTACTGAATCGGAAAATGTGAGCCTTTACAGTATATTCTGTGAAGCCGTCATTTTGTTGTTGTTGTTTTGGAATACACTGTCCTTCTGGACAAGGTTGTTGGTTCAAGCCTCACGTCAGTACTTGGAATCACATCGTCTAAGATGACATTCCTGGGGGAGTGCTGGGGGCAGGGTTGGGGAGTAAGCAGGTTGGAGAGTTAAAGAGGTTGCCAGGGCATAAAGGGATGTGTGCTGGATTGTAGGAGGTACCATCCAGGTGGACGCTAAGGATCTCATGCGCAAATTGGCCATGACTTTTGCCTAGAAAAACACACCGTCACTGGATTTCACAGGAAAAATCCCCTGAAGCGCGCGCTTGGAGGCATCTCGACGATCCAATAAGGCGCTGTGTCAAACACAAGGATTACAAAATCCTATGAAATCCCTTCCACCCTGGCTCCTCTCTACCACTCCAACCTGCTTACTCCGTATCCCTCTACCCAGTGTCTCCGCTCGACTGGCTCCAGCTTCCTACTTGTCCCTTGTGCCCTGCGACCCACCATCGGTGGCCACACTTTGATCCACCATCCCCCGAAATTCTAGAACACTCTTCCTGTATCCCTCCGCCTTGCCCCTTCCTTCCCCATCTTCAGATCATGCCTGAAGAACCCCCCTCTTCGACTGTGCCTACAGTCACCTCCCCTCTCTGGCCGGCTCGGCTATTGCCAAGCCCTCTGAGACGCTACAAGGCGTGAGGGGCGCTAGATAAATGCAAGTTGTTGTACTGTAATCCAGGTTAGCAAAACACACTCAGCACCGCAGAGTCAGTGAGGGAGGACTGCGATATCATCACTACAATGTGATAGTAACACACGATTGTAACAAGGGCAGATTACTTTGCTGTTCTGGACCAGAATCGTGACGCTGCTTATCTGCTCTGCTTTAAGCGCTCCGAGACGTTACCCAGCGTGGAGGGCGCTATATAAGTGCAAGTGGTTGTCGCTGCTCTGCCTCTGTTTGCGAGAGACTTCGCTCCCCGGTTTGTTTGTGCAGCACAAAAGGAACCAAAGCCCTAACTTTTTACAAATAACTGTTTGTGGGACACTGCTGTGCGCAACCGGCTGCCGCTTTTCGCCCGCAAAATACAGTCACTCCACTTTACAGTCTATCTTTACGTGACGCTCACGCTCTCACTTACGTGGATTATTCATTTTCTGTGACAGACACCCACCGCGCTGTGGAATTCAAGCCCACCCCCAGAAGCTGGTGTATGTCTGTGGTAGTTAAGGCCAACGCTCCCCCTCCCACTCCATGCTGCCTCGTGATGCACCCGTATCCTCTATAGCAACCGTTGTTAGGGGCTGACCAAGACGACATAGCCATTTCCCTGCATTGTTTCCTTTCATCTTTGCTGACAAAGCCCCCACATCTGGAAAGTCACTTGACAAAGACGAGGGAAGATAGGGCAGTGGAGAGGAGAGCAATTGGGATGATGCCCAGTATTGGAGGCACGAGCTTTGAGGTGCCCTAAACACACTCAGGCTCTTAAGTCTTAGAGGCGCATTGGTTGTTCACTTCACGTCTGTTCTTAGGATGTTGCTGTGCGCAAATCGGCTGCCGCGGTTCAGCTGAAAAATACACAGGCACTACACTACACGTGGACTCCACGTAAACTACAGGACTAGTGGGGTCTGTAATATAGTGGTTCGAGCACTCGCCTCGGAAGCGAGAGGACCTGGGATCGATTCCCGGGCAGGGGGAAATTTTAGGCAAGTTTCGTCACTCCGCACGCCTCTGTCTACTCAGCAGTAAATAGGAACCCGGTTGTTAAGTCGATTGCCGGATCGCTTTCCGAGGGTAATAAATTTGGTCACTCAATCCACGACTGTCTGTGGGACACTCCTGTGCACAACTGTGCATTTCGCCACAAAATAGTCAATCCACTTTACAATATATTCTGAGAAGCGCTTTGAGAAATCTCAATGACATGATAAAGTGCTATATCTAATGCTAGTATTATTATCAGGAGGTTCTGCAGTGCTCCTGAGGCAATGTTAGTCACAGACCAGCCAGGGAGCGGGTGAGGTTGCGGTGTTGGGAGGAATGCAGACTTGGTCAGAGAGGACAAAAGGTTTAAAGGAGAAAGAGGTTTGAACAGGCGGGCTGGGTTCTGCGAATTGGGAGGTTGATACGGTCGGTGGACTCGACCTCGTTAATGTTGAGTTAGGAGAAAGTTACGTCTCATCCAGGACTTGGCGTCTTGACAGTCAGGCAGTCTTTCAGAACAGAGGTAGTCCTAGAGTCAAGGCTTGAGGCAGAGACATGGAGTTGGGCCATACTCCCAAACCACTATACCCCACCCACCCCCACCTTGAGTCCAACCCCCAGTTCGGGTGCTGAACTGTTGTTGTCTCTGTACGCACAGAACTGGACTCCACGACTGCAAATTATGTCACAATGGGTAGATGTAGACCATTAAAACCCCATGTAACTCCCTGGTTCAGTCCCTCCACCTTATTCATCTTTAAATCCCACTTTAAGACTAACCTCTTCGACCAAGTCTGCATCACCTCCCCCTTTCTTGGGGTCCAACCCCATCGCTGGTCAGCACTGTAAAACGCTACCTGTGCGAATGGGCGTTCTGTAAATGCAAGACTTGTTCCAAGAGAGGACCGAGGACAGAATCCTGAGGAACATTAGAGATAAGCACTTGTGTACACATGATGGGCTGAACGGCCGAAATTTTCGCTGTTGTTACCATTTAAGTCCCTTCATGGTCTAGCCCCATCCCTATCTCTACCACTCTTCTCATTGGGGGTGGAGCTTTTAATAATCCTTATAAGCTTTCCATTTTATAGCGCCTAATCATGTCATTGTTACATCTCAAAGCGCTCCACAGAATAAAGTGCTTGATATGATACTGTAAAGTGAATGGACAGTATATTTTGTGGGCAAAAGGCAGCAGCACAACAGTATCCCACAGTCGTGGATTGAGTGACCAAATAATTTTTTTTGAAAGGATTATTATCCCCGGAAAAGCGATCCGCCAATCAACTAGGAACCGGGTTCCTACTTAATGATAATAAACAGGGGCATGTGGAGTAAGGAAACTTGCCCAAGGTTTCACCCTGCCCGGGAATCGAACCCAGGTCCTCTCGCTTGTGAGGTGAATGCTCTAACCGATATACTATAGCGCTCCACAAGTATCATGTTGTATGACAGTGACTTTTCAGTGTTAAAATTGGCTTGCGAAGTGAATGCTCTAACCAATATGCTACAGGATTTCACATGTCCTGTCTGAGGTTCAGCATCTGGCTCTGCTGCCAGGCTTTCAGCTGTTCTGCCCTTGTGCTCTCAAACTCCATCCTCTAGTCCCTCTGGCTCACCTTCTGCCCCTACCCATCTTCAGACGCTTTCTCTCCCCCCCACCCCCCTTTCCTCAGCTCGGCCTCCCAGCAGATTCCTGAAGCGCTTTGAGATGTCCCCAAGCGTGAAAGGCTGTGGATCAATATAAAACTGCTGCAGCTGTTATCACTTACCATTATACAGGGTGTCCACAAAGTCCTGTTACCCCCACGTGTTTTTTTTCTACAGTGCACTGACCAACAACTGAAACATGTGGAAGGATGATGATGATTGCATTGAGAAGTGTGTAATTGTAATCAGACGTCCAGAGGACGGGAAGAGGTGAGTGTGAGCCATCATTTTAATGGCAGACAATGATCCATCGCCATATTCAGTGCCACATCATTCGTAACATGGATGGAGTGATGAGAAATGTTTCTCTGACGGCTTGTTTCAGCTCCTCCGTAGTCTCACATCATTGTTTTGTAATAGGGGGTAACGGGACTTTGTGGACGCCCTGTACATAAAAGTCTATTCAATTCTTGGAGGAATCCCAAGTTGAATGTTGAGTGGCTGGTGTTACTAACAGTTGCTGCAGGAATTGACGAGATTGACAAACAAAATAAATTCTCCCGATCATCAGCCAAGAACATTTTAGGAAAGATTTTTATCAGAATCAGGGCCTCTCGTCACTTACATTATTCTACTGGGTAACTGAACGCAGATTAACAAACTAAAGAGAAATACATTGTTGGTTGAGAAATATATTAGTTGTGTTCAATGGAGGCAGCGAGTGCAAACCACAGATGGGGTGAAGGACTAGTCTCTCCTTTCAAGACGTCAGCCTCCAACACGGCAGAGTGGACATCTGGAAGTTCAACTCCTCCGCCCCACCCCTTCCTCTTAAAATGGGACGTGGTTGGCCCCACTCCCCCCAGCACTCTGCAAACACTCCTATTGTTTTCTTGCGAGAGAAAGAGAGATGTCTGTAAGTTTCAAAAGCACACGAGTGTTTCACACAGTAAAGCTTAAGGGCTTGTTCAAGGCCGGATTGGAAGGCACGAGTGTTTTTCTGGAGGATTGCGAGCAGGAAGCAAAAGCCACAATTTCTTCCCGAATCTCAGTCCTGCCCAGGGATGTACAGTCTTCTCTCCACCCTCCCTTGGGGAGCTGGATGGAGGAGGAGGGAGAGGAGGAGGGTGAGGATCAATCACTGTGTTTCCTTGGCCTGCACCTCCTCCTGACTCACAGCTTGATCCCCTGTAAGTTCTGTCGGAGGTTAAGCATCTGCTTCTCCTGACGGGCTTTCTCCACCTTGAAAGCCAGCTTGTTGCTTTTCTTCTCCATACGTCTCTCCTGTGCCAAAGAGAAACAGACACACGTGTGGATCCAGACTTGCCACTCGTTCGTTCACAATAATAATCCTGAACAATGCAATTCTCCCCCTGGAACTGTATTGAAGTGTCAGCCTAGCCTAGACTTTGCGATTTCAATCCTGACGTGGGGCTTCACAACCTTCTGACTTAGATTCGAGAGCGCTGTCACCCAACGTAAAGAAAATAATCCCTGTATTTGTTATAGCACCTTATCATGTCATTGAGACGTCTCAAGGCGAGTCACAGAATATACTGTACTGGAGTGACTGTATTTTGTGGGTGAAATGTTTATACTTCTATATACACACAAATATTTACACACACAAACATGCTTATCCATATATAGGAACATAGGAACCGTGTAGGCCATTCAGCCCCTTGAACCTGTTCCGCCATTCTATTGGATCATGGCTGATCTGTTCCTCAAGTCCAGGTCTATGCATCTTAGTCAATGACTGGAAAATATCACAGCATTTTGGGAGATGGAAAGAATCTTACTTTGTCCAGGACGGGACAGCCACAATACACATAAGGCATTAGTGTATGAATAACAAGGTCTGATTTGTGCCCATCTTATGACACGCTCTCACTGTGGTGTCCACAAAGTCCTGTTACCCCCATGGCTGGTGAGCGGGGGACATGGAGCAGGCCGGAGCCCGCTGAGAAGAAACAGAGAGAGCCTATTAACGAAGGAAGAGAATAAACGATGAGTATCCCGTACCCTTCTCTCTTCTCTCACTGCCTGCTTTCTGGCTTTGCGCTGGTCCTTGTTCTCTCCTGGCTGGCGAGGTTGTGCGGAGACGGTGGGCAGGTCACTGATGTTAATCCTCTCCATGTTCTCCAGCTGTTTAGCGGTCAGGCCCCTTTTGGGAAGGACGTTCAGGGGGATGCCTGTCCGTCTGGACACCGTGATCGGCTGATGCTGTAAAACAAGACAGTGGAATTAGACACCTAACAACCCATTTTACCTGGTGCAGGCCTGTAATGGCAAAGTGTTTCATAGCAAGTAGTCATTATTGTAATGTATAATAATAATAATGACCCTTGCATTTGATATAGCGCCTTATCACGACGTTGAGACATCTCACAGCGCTTCACCGGATATACTGTAAATTTTGTGGGCAAAACGCAAGGCGTTGGACAGTCAGAGATTTAGACCCGAGTTGGGGGTTGGGACCAGGAGGGGTGCAGGACAGTGGGGAGGGGTAATAGGGTCACGGAGCTTGTGGAGGAGAGTACACGCGCGGCAGAGTTGTGGATAATTAGGAGTCCAGAAATGTGCTTTTTAACAAACAATGCATTTTCAGGCACAAAACAGAAGTTGCAATGTCCACTGGCATTCTTCAACCCCCATCGATTAACCCAGTCCCACACTGGTCTCCACAATCTCGCTGTGTATGAAGAAGGGCAAGCAACACTGTAAATCCGCTCCCTGCCTATCGAAAGCCAGCTGACTCACCCTAGGCGGATCCTCTATCAGTTTTGGATGGTTGTACAGGTTAGAATAGGTGCCTGCGAAGGAGAGAGGGTTTAAACACTGGGAGACACGGAGGACATGGTATTCAATATTAATAATAACAATAATCCTTTCATTTGATATAGCGTCTTATCACTTTGTTGAGATGTCTCAAAACCCTTTACAGAATATACTGTAAAATGAACTGACTATAAATTTATGAGCAGAACGCAGCAGCCAATTGCGCACAGTAGTGTCCCACACACAGTCGTGGACTGAGTGACCAAATTTGTATTTTTTTTTGAAGGATTACCCGCGGAAAGCGATCCGCCAATCGACTAACAAACTGGTTCCTACTTCCTGCTGGGTAAACAGAGTCGTGTGGAGTAAGCAAACTTGCCTAAGGTTTCATCCAGCCCTGGAATCAAACCTGGGGCCTCTCACTTGCGAGGCGAGCGCTCTAACCACTACGCTAGAGGACTCCGCAAATAACACCCAGAGCCACAGGGACGTTGTATTTAAACATCCAGAAACATGTGACAAAAAGACTTATTTCCAAACCTTGTGAATTCACTTTTAATACCCGAGGAATCTCTCACTTTCGGGGCAGTGAGACCCTGACGTCACGCTGACCACTTACTCAGAATGGACTCGCAATCCCACTTCTCTCTGGGCTCCTCGATGATCACCATCTCCATCTCCTCGTCTCCACTCTCCTCACTTTCACACAGCACGTCTGCTCTCGGGCCCAAGTCGTCGGGTCTCTGAAGGCTGAAGAGAGCAGCGGAGCGGTGAGTACAAGGGGCAACGAGCAACACCCAGGACAATTGTAGTTTCTCCCCTGACGTCTACCAGGGAAGGGACTGGGGATGGGGGGGGGGGGAGGGGCAGGAGAGATATTAGCTGGCCCTTTAAGATACTGCTCTGTGAGCCCGCAGAGCCCTCTGGTCTTGTTGGAACGGATGCTTAGATCACAGGAGAAATGATAACCAGGGAATCCCAGAAGTGTCATGAGCTGAACCTCTGGATCATTACTCAGACACCCCTCCTATACCATCTCCTATTATCCCTCCCCTTCTGTCCCTCTCTCATGGTTTTCTCAGGGAGTTGAAACCGAAACTGGGTTCCAACTTCACCTCAGTTTCTCTCAGGAGTTGAAGGCTGTGTGAGGAAGCTGGCCTCTCCAGGCAAACCAGTAGAGCTCAGATGTCAGTGGTCATGCTCTAACCGTACAGTCAGTCCACACCTGGAGTTCTTGAGCGATAATAATTTGATTTGTATTTGATATAGCACCTTATCACGTCTTCGAGATGTCTCAAAGTGCTTCACAGAATATACTGTAAAGTATAGACTGTACGTAAACTGTACGTTTTATGGACGAAACGCGGCAGCCAATTACTCAGAGCAGGGTGTCCCACAAACAGTTGTGGATTGAGTGACCAAATTATTATTTATTTTTTAATTTTTGAAGGGATTATTACTCCCGGAAAAGTGATCAGCCAATCGACTAACAAACAGGGTCCTAATTACTGATGGGTAAACAGAGGCTTGCGATAGGTATAGAGTAAGGAAACTTGCCCAAGGTTTCGCCCTGGCCAGGAATCGAACCCAAGATCCTCTTGCTTGCGAGGCGAGCGCTCTAACCACTGAGCTACAGGACTCCACAGGTTCTGTCACCGGGATATAAGGAGGAAAATGGCCAGATCCTAATGATAGGGCAGGGCAATACAGAAGCAGAGGCGCTGCCCACAGCCCCATATAAGAGGGACGAGCTATGAGGAGCAACTAGTGATCAGATCGTGGAAACTATCAGAAAGTGAGAGGGCAGCCCCGACCTGGGATACCCTGCGGCAGCTGCTAGCCTCGTCTGGCAGAATGCCTACTCACCGCGGGCTCTGTCTAACAACCATCAGGACATGGCCTCGCTGGCGATCAGAAGGGCCCTCCCCGTCAGGCCTTTCATGCCGGTCGGGGCCTTGTCCAATCCCCGTTGCCCTCGGGCGAGGAGATTGTGGACCACCTCTCACTGGGGTGTTTGGACATCAAGGCGGTTTGGATGCAGGTGGAATGGCTGCTCTAGCGGTTCGTTGATGCTTCAGCTGTATACAGCCTTGGTCAGATCTCACCTGGAGACTGCGTTCAGTTTTGGGCACCGCACCTCAGGAAGTGTATATTGGTTCTGGATGGAGTGGAGCGCAGATTCACCAGAATGATACCAGGGCTCAAAGGGTTAGATTATGAGGACCAGGTGCATAAACTTGGTTTCTATTCCCTTGAGTTTAGATGGTTGAGGGGTAACCTGATTGAGGTGTTTCCAATAATAAAGTGATTAAATCGGGTAGACACAGAGAAACTATTTCCTCTGGTGGGGAAATCCAGAACAAGGGGGATCATCTTAAAGTTAGAGACAGGGCATTCAGGAATCAAATCAGGGGCAGTTTTTCACCCAAAGGGTAGTGGAAATCTGGAACTCGCTTCCCCCAAAAGGCAGTGGATCCTGGATCCATTCACTTCTTCAAGCTTGAGGTGGATAGGTATTTGTGAGGTCAGGGTATCAAGGGATTATGGGGCAAAGGTGGGTAATTAGAGTTGAGGTACAGAACAGCCATCATATAATAGAATGGCAGAACAGGCTTCAGGGGCCTATCGAGGGGAATATTCTGTGAATTGAATTGACTATATTTTGTGGGCAGCACATGGCAACCAATTGCACACTGCAGCATCTCACAAACAGTCGTGGATTGAGTGACATTTTTTTGGAAAGATTATTACCCCCAGAAGGTGATCCTCTGATCAACTGACAACCAGGTTCCTACTAAACTGTTAGGTAAACATGAAACAGTTTGATGCTGTAATGGGAAGACAGGAGGTGGGTATTTTGGAAGGATGCGATTAATTTGACATAGGATAGCTTTACCTGAACTTCTCACCAACTCTCTTCTCCTTTCAGTCTTCCCTTCCTTTCTCCTCCCACCTTGGCTTTTAACCCAAGTCTGGTCTTACCAGGCACTACATCCTGACCCATCGCTCTTTCTACCCCCGGTGGAGGTTCCCATCAGTATAAAGCAGCTCGATTCCAATGTACACTTACTCCTTTCCTTTCTGTGTGTAGTATTCGGCAATCACCTCCTCCAACCTCGAGCTGCTAACCTGAATGAAACCTTCCAGCTCATGATGGTCCAAGGCTCCTATATCATCATCATCGTATTCTTCAAATAGCTAGTGAGAGAGGGCATGGGGGAAGAATGAGAGAGAGCAAGAGAGAAAGATAGAGTGAAAGAGGGGCATGGGGGAGAGGGGGAAGAGAGAGTAAAAGGGGCATGGGGGAGAGAGAGGAAGAGAGTGAGAGAAGGCATGAGGAAGAGAGAGAGAGGAGAGAAAAAAAAGAGTGAGAGAGGGGAAACAGAGAGGGAGAGACGGAAACAGAGAGAGAGAGACGGAAACAGAGAGAGTGAGTGAGAGAAGGGGGGGGGAGGAAACAGCAAGAGAGAGTTGGGAATAGAGAGAAAAAAAGGCAGGGGAAATGGGGAAAAAGAGAAAGAGTGGGGTGCACAGAGAGAGAGACGCATATGGGGGAGGGACAGCAGGAGACAGGGAAAGAGAAAGACAGGTCCACGGAAGGAGAGTAAGAGGTATAGACAGGAAGGAGCTTGTGCAAGGTGGAGTTGAGGAGGCTGACGAGCAGCTGGTCAGAGGTCGAGTCAGGAGCAGCGCTGAGCCCTTCAGCTCATCCTGCTGTCAAGCCCGTGGTAACTGTGTAACCCGGACACCCACCCGCTCAAACCTGTCGTCCAGGAAGGTGAGCTGATCGTTCCTCCGCATGATAGACGAGGTCATGGAGTAGTCAGTGAAAAGGCTCTTGGTCTCCTCCTTCAGGAACAGGAACTCCTGCCCCCCGAACCCCTCCCCCTCTGACAGGGGACCGTCAGAGTCAAAGGCACCTTCCTCATCCTCCACGTCCTCCCAATCACCGTCGTCCTCTTCCTCCGATCCCCTGAAACCCAAAGCAATGAAAGACTGGAGGGTGTTCTCATTTGCTGAATGCAAATAAGCTACATCATTTGCTCAGAGCCCTTCATGTGGGGTAGTGTCTTGGGGCATCTAGATTAAACGGCCACTAACTTTGCAGTAAGGTTTTTCCGCTGATTGTCCAGCTAGGAATAGCTTACCCCGTTAGGGCTTTGACTTGCAGGGTTAACAGGAGCTGAGTGGGAGATTCCGTGCCCCCAGTGAACGGACTGATAAGACTTGAAGACAGAGAGACAGAGAGAGAGAGAGTGAGGGGACAGGGATGGGGCTCCAAAGTTTAGGGCGTAGAGACTGACGCGGGGGGAGTGGGAATTGGGGGAGACGCAGCAACACTCAGGTAACAGGGTGGCGGAGAAGGAGATGGATTGGAATAGATAAACGAAACACTTTTGAGATGCTGTGACCTCACTGGCCACGTTACTGCTGCCCAGCCCACCTCTGTTGATCGCCGGCTACGACCGCCTGCAGGATAAAGTCGTCCTCCAGCACGTTCTCAGGATTGTCAAAGTCAAAATCCTCATCCATAGCGGCTACAATATCTGGGTCCAGGTCCAAGCGAGGGCCTGCGAGGTGGGGTGGGGGGGGGGGAGAGAAAGGAAGCAGCTTTATGTTTATGTTTCACAAGCCCGAGCCTTTTGTTTCTAATAATAATCCTTGTATTTGATATAGCATCATATCACGTCGTCGAGGCCTCTCAAAACGCCTCACAAAATATACTGTCTGTCAAGTGAATTAACTCGGAAATTTTGGGGCGAAACACGGCAGCCAATTGCGCACAGCAGTGTCCCATAAACAATCGTGGATTGGGCGACCAAATCAATTTTCATTTGGAGGGATTATTAACCCCAGAAAGCGATCCGCCAATCAACTAACAACTCAGTTCCTACTTACTGCTAGGTAAACAAAAGGTGTGTGGAGTAAGGAAAATTGCCTAAGGCTTGGCCCCGCCTGGGAATCGAACCCGGATCCTCTCGCTTGAGGCGAGCGCTCTAACCACTAAGCTACTTGCTGACCGATTAGAGGGAGAATGCCCGTCTCCAGTGTAGCTTTCCAGCTGACAAAGAACGAGCCTGGTATATAAAAAAATTGTCATAGTTACCTGTCACTGGTGCCGCTTTGTTCAGAAGCCCGGTCTCCTCTTCAAACTCCGAGGCAAAGACTGACGAGGGGAGATTAATCGAAGGAGCCTGGAATCAGACAAGACAGATCCAGGTCTCAGATACAGCAGTCAGTTCACTACACAACCTGCCCACCCCCTCCTCATCACTGGAGCGATGATACACATCCTCACGCCTGGTAACGCACTGCTCAGGATCTTGACAGGGTATTTGACCACAAGATCCCGATCCTGACAATATTTATTTGATACCCTGCTCGCGGGGCAGCACCTTGGAGCGCTTAACAATAGCGTAGTTTGTGGTTGAGAAAGGGAGGTGACCGCAGGCACGATCGAAGAGGAAGGTATTCAGGTACAATCTGAAGACTGTCAGCAGTGCCCTGGAATACTGCAGACCCACCTGGCTCAGGAACCGGACGAGAGACCTGGTTGAGAGTTGGCTCGATTCCCTCAACCCACTGCCAAATGTGTCACCTTGAAGCTGTTCAGCTCCAAGGAGACCCCGCTTTCCATCCCCCCACCCAAGAAGGATAGTCAAAGTTGGTCAAAGGCGCCAAATGAAACGCCTTTCTTCCTTTAGGTTGGCCAACAAAACAATCATAGAAAAAACAAAAAGCTTGTCCACCCCTGGCCTAAATCAAGAAATATTCAATCAAGAAACATTGATTTTATTGGCCAACCGAAGAGGTGGGCCACCACTTCTTAATAATAATTATCCTTGCACTTGATATAGCGCCTTATCACATCGTTGCGACATCTCAAAGCTCTTCACAAATTATACTTAAAGTGGATTGACTCTATATCTTGGGAGCGAAACGCTGTATCCAATTGCACACAAACAGTCATGATTTTTTTTTGGAGGGTTTATTAGCCCCAGAAATCGACCGCCAATCGACTAACAACTGCGCTCCTACTTACTGCTAGGTAAACAGAGGCGTATGGAGTAAGGAAACTTGCCTAAGGTTTCGCCCTGACCTGCCCGGGAATCGAACCCGGGTTCTCGCTTGCGAGGTGAATGCGCTAACCACTACCCTACAGGACTTCACTCGTTGTGAAGTAACTTACAGGGATGTATTGCGTCTCCTCCTGCACATGGCCCTCCTGTGTGACCACGATCCTGCTCTCCCTGGCCGGGGCACTGGAGGCCACCAGCTCAGTTGTGGGTGAAGCCTCCTTCAGGTGCTGCAGGTAGTTATAGTCATCGTCAAAGAAGACCCCGAACTCCCTCTCCTCCTCCTTCCTCTTCTCTCTGCATTCCTTCCGCTGCAAAGAATGGACAAGTGTATGTTTATATTAACGTGTTTCATTAGAGCATAGAATTCCTTACCAAACAACTGTGTTGATGCAGAATTCATAACACAATAACAACTTGTGTTTATATACCGCCCTTCACGTGTAGTGGTGGCTCCGAGCACTTAATAGCAGCTGAATAATAATAATAATCCTTGTATTTGATATAGCGCCTTATCATGTCTTCGAGACTTCTCAAAGTGCTTCACAGAATATACTGTAAAGTGGATTGACTATGTTTTGTGGGCCCCAAAGCAGCAGCCAATAGCCCTTAGCAGTGTCCCACAAACAGTTGTGGATTGAGTGACCAAATTATTATTTATTTAGTTTATTTGTTTTGAAGGGATTATTACTCCAGGAAAAGCGATCCACTAGTCGACGAACAACCGGGTTCCTACTTACTGCTAGGTAAACAGAGGCGTGCAAAGTAAGGAAACTTGCCTAATGTTTCGCCCGCCGGAAATCGAACCCAGCTCTCTCGCTTGCAAGGCTCTAACCCACTAAACTACAGGACACTTCTAAAGGGGATGTAGCAATGATAACAATCCTTGCATTTGAAATGGCGCCTGATCACGTCTTTGAGGCGTCTCAAAAGACTTCACAGGATACGACTATGCATTTTGTGGGTGAAACACGGCATCCAATTGTGTACAGAAGTGTCCCACAAACAGCCACGGAGTGAGTGATCAATTGTATTTCGGGGAATTGTCGGCAGACCTCTTTTCGAACAGTGTCACGGGATCTTTATCATCAACCCGAGCAGGCAGACGGGACCTTGGCTTAACTTCTCATGTGAAGGACGTAGCTGCGTTGTCTCTCACCTCAGCGGGCAGCAGCACTCTCTGCGGGGCTGTCTGGTCAGCAACCAGCGGGTCCCTCTGGCTCCGGTGAACCAGGTGAAACTTCACCGAGCCTTTCTTCTCAATGAACTGCTTCTTTTTCCGGTGAGGCTGTAACAATAATATTGACAACAATAATAAATAATAATCTTTGCATTTGATATAGCGCCTTATCATGGGGCCGAGGCGTCTTACAGCGCTTCACAAGATATATTATAAAGTGCAGTGACTGTGGATTTTGTGGGCAAAAGTGGCAGCTAATTGCGCACAGTAATCGTAAACAATGAAAGAACAGTGAGACCCACCAGACCACCAGTGACCACCCCCCACATACACAGCAGAGACATAAGACGGGTTCGTTCCACCATCCTGGCAAACGATTGACATGTCATGTCCCAAACTATATACTGTATCCCGAGATATCATTTCCAAACAGAAATCTAATTTGTTCTTGAAACAAACACTACTTTCTATTTCCACCGTCTCCGTAATGTTCCAACGACAACTTACACTTATATAGAGCCCGACATCAAGGGGAGCGTCTCAGAGCGCTCAGATTTACTACATTTACTGCTCACTGAAGCAGTGCTTCCGCGGAACTTACAACAATGGCAGAGTTTACCCCATTTCAATCGCAGACCGAAAACCCCTCACACGCGCATACACTCTCACACACACTCACTCACTCTCACACACACACTCACTCTCACACACTCACTCTCACACACACACTCACTCACCCTCACACACACTCACTCTCACACACTCACTCTCACACACACACTCACTCACTCTCACACTCACTCACTCTCACACACACTCACACTCACTCTCACACTCACTCACACACTCACCAACAAAACAATAACAAAATTACACGTGTAAAGCGCCTTTCACGTCGGGAGGACGTCCCAGGGCTCTGCACAGACAGAGTTACGGACCCGAACTGAGGGTCGGGGGAGAGGCGGAGGGACTGCGGGATGGAGTTCCAGAGGGTGGGCGCAGAGTGGCTGAGGGCGGGGGCCGTGAAGCAGGGCCGGAAGGAGCGACCAGGGAGGGAGAGGGACACACGCCTCCCCCCTCTCTCTCTCACACACTCACCATGTTGTCGGCCTTTCACTTGCCGCAGACACGGCGGGCTCCACTGTCACTGAGGATTCTGGGATACTGGCTGACCCCTTGGCTGAGGATTGTGGGATACTGGCTGACCCCTTGGCTGAGGATTCTGGGATACTGGCTGACCCCTTGGCTGAGGATTGTGGGATACTGGCTGACCCCTTGGCTGAGGATTGTGGGATACTGGCTGACTCCAGTGTATATCGATAGAGGGCTTTTACTCCCGCGTTGAATGCCGGGAAGCGCTGGCGGCCATTGCGCGGGAACCAGTGAGGGGCGGCCTCAGACAGGGACAGAAAGCGGTGCACAGGATTGATTTGGATGACAAAGGACCTTCATCCCATCTCATCCTCCAGTAAACCCCCCGTCACTGCCGCACGTTGCTTTCTAATCGAGTCCGAGTGTCCACAAACTTAAATCACTTGACCTGTAAACCCTGAGTCTTGTCACTGATGTCAGGACGTCCCAAAGGCGCTGACGGTGAAAGAGGAAGGTCTTTGTGATCTAAAAGAGGGGGAGAGGGAGGGGAGAGGGAGAGGGAGGGGAGGGGGAGGGGGGAGGGGAAGGGGAGAGGGAGAGAGTTCCAAAGCTTCGGGGAGCAGTGGCTGAAAGCGCGGCTGCCGATGATGGAGCGGAGAGGACAAGGGACGAGCAGAGCAGAGCAGAGCAGAGCAGAGCCTCCCGAGCGGAGCGGGGAGTCAGCCGGTCGGGGGGTTGGGGAGGTGCCGGACGGAGCACGAAGGGATCTGCCGGGAAGACGAGTGTGTGAGGATCTTGGAATCGATCTGTTCTACAACGAGAGAGAGTGGGTGGAGCCCCCGGTGAGGACTGGCGGGTGACGGTCCGGAGCACAGTGTGGGTGACCCTCCTGGTGCCTCTGTACGGTCGGGTGGCCCATGGTCTGCAAACCAAATCCGGGGACACGCAGCAAAAAAAATGGAGCTCACCACAGCCGGGCAGTGCTGAAGAGGATTGTTGGTTAATAATAACAATTTGGGTTCGATATAGTGCTCTATCACATTGTTGGGACGTCTCAAAGCGCTTCACAGAATATACTGTCAAGCGAATTGACTGTATGACGTTCGTGTTTCTCTGATGATGCTCAGTTTGTTGCCGAACTCACGAAGGGGACAAATTTGGCCCCAGGGGTACAATACATAAATAATAATAAGAAAAAACCTTGCATTTTGATAGAGTGCCTTATCACGTCTTTGAGACATCTCAAAATGCTTCACAGAATATATTGTGTGTATATATATATATATATTGGGATGAGATGGGATGGGATGGAGCAAGAATGAGGAGGGACCATATAAAATAAATGGTATAGGTTCAAAGGGGATTCTGGAGCAGAGAGACCTGGCGGTTCACATACACAGGTCTTTGAGGGTGACAGGACGGGTTGATAAAGCTGTTAGCAAAGCATATGGGATCCTTGGCTTTATAAATATAAATAAATAAATATTGTGTCCAATTCTGGGTGCCACACTTTAGGAATTCAAGATCCTCATCCTCACCTACAAGGCCATTCATGGCCTCGCTCCCTCCTACCTCTCCGACCTACTATCCCCCTACTTACCTGCCCATACCCTCCGTTCCTCCGGCTCCGGTCTGCTCCACATCCCCCGCCCCAAACGCCCTACCATCGGTGGCCGGGCCTTCAGCCTCTCAGCCCCGAGGCTCTGGAACTCCATCCCCAGTGCCTTCTCCTTGCATCCTCCCTTTCCTCCTTCAAGGCCGGTCTCAAGACCTTTCTCTTTGACTGTGGCTTCAGCTCTCCTCTCAACTCTCTACCCCCTCCTCGCTCCCTCCCCTCACCCTGACCATTTCCCCTCTGCTCGGGTCCTGACCCAACTGTACAGCGCCTTGGGACGTCCTCCCAACGTGAAAGGCGCTCTATAAATGAAATCTTGTTGTTGTTGTAGGAAGGATGTCAAGGCCTTGGAGAGGGTGCGGAGGAGATTTACCAAAATGGTACCAGGGATGAGTGACCTTTGTTATGTGGAGAGACGAGAGAAGCTGGGATTGTTCTCCTTAGAGCGGAGAAGGTTAAGGGAAGATTTACTGGAGGTGTTCAAAATTATGAGGGGTTTTGATAGAGAAGATAGGGGGAAACTGTTCCCACCGCCGGGTGGGTCAGTAACCAGAGGACACAAATTTAAAACAATTGGCAAAAGAACCAGAAGGGAGATGAGGAGAATTTTGTTTTTACGCAGAGTGTTGTGTTCTGGAATGCACTGCCAGAAAGGCTGGTGCAAACAGATTCATTAACAACTTTCAAAAGGGAATTGGATAGGTACCTGAAAAGGAAAAAAAATTGCAGATAGGACTGCAAGCATTATCATTATTCCTATTATTCCCTTTTCCTGTTTTGCAGGCATCAAGTTTCCTCTTAAATACATTTACACTTCTTGCTTCAACCATGGCTTCCGGCCGTGAGTTCCACATTCTCACCACCATCTGTGTGAAGACGTTATTGTGTACAGAAGCAATTAGGTGCAGCATTGATTATGTAACGAGCAATGAAAATAAGTCATTAACTAAGCAGTATACAAATAACCCTTTTCATTAGTTATAAATTAGAATTAATGGCACCTGTAATTCACACTATCCACATTGTGTGGCAGCCTGGCTCAGTCGGTAGCACGCTTCTTGCCTGTTAGTCAGAAGGTTGCAGATTCAAGCTGTCTTAAAGTGGGATTTAAAGGGGTGGGGGGATTGTGAGGGGGTGGTGGAGGGTGAGTTGGAGGGTTTGAGGCAGGCAACTCCTGAGATTAGGAATATAGATGCTCCCACTCGGTGATATCATCCGCAGACATGGGGTCAATTTCCACATATATGCGGATGGCACCCAACTCTGTCTCTGCCTCTACTCTCGACTCCAGGACCACTGCTGTCCTGACAGAATGTCCTGGATGAGAGCTGACTTTCTACAGTTGAACGTCAACAAGACCAAGGCTCTCCTGCTTGGCTCCTATCGACGTCTCCACACCTCAGGCACTGACACCATTACTATTCATGGATTTTTATATAAGAAAGGTCTGGCAATCATCTCAGGAGACTGGGAAATCCTTGCACCGATGTCTGTGGGAGGCAGGTGGTGCTAACAGCCCAAGGAAAGCCAACAAAATAAAAGAGAAATTTTGTACAGGCGTGTGCAACATTTTAAATGTGATTGAAAAATCCACATTAATCCTTAGGATGTATCGTATCAGTAGAACAAGAGGGCAACAACAACAGCAACAAATTGCATTTATAAAGAGCCTTTCACGTCTGGAGGACATCCCAAGCTGATGGACAATGAGCGGTTTGCACCGAGCTGTGGGTTGGGATCAGAGGAGGGGTGGAGGGCAAGGGAGGTGCAGGAGGGAGGGTGACTGAGGGCACGATCGAAGAGGGAGGTCTTGAGATGGGCTTTTGTAGAATTCTGTAATTAATGTGTTAAATAATATCCCAAATTATATTCGCGATGTTTATATATATATATTTGAAACATGATCAATCCCATATGAGGGGAGCTGGTTGTGACGAGCTTCGAAGACAAACTGTTTGCATTCCTTATCAGACATTTTCTGATGGCAAAATGGTCTGCAGCTGGAGAGAGCTGTGTTGCATTTTCAAGACCCATCTCAAGACCCTCCTCTTCGACCGTGTTTTCGATCTCCCTGCTTCCACCTCCACCCACCCCGACCCGCAGCTCGGGTCCACATCTCTGTCTGTCCAGCGCCTTGGGACATCCTCCGGACATGAAAGGCGCTTTACAAATGTAATTTTGCTGTTGTTGTCGCATTTGTTTTTACAAAGGACTTACAAACGACAATAGATGAAAGGTCACCTAATTAACAGTATAAACGGAGATCGATTCAAAAGAGATAGAAGAAATTGGAACTTGGAGTTGCGAACCATATTCCAACCTCTAAAGAAAGAAGATCAAGACTACATTTTGAGGACTTATATTTGGATTCAAATGGGACATTAAATTGGACATTGCTCCTCTATCTCTCCCGCAGCATTTGGTTTGATCAATTTAAATCGTTGTGAACTACAGTGTACGTGGAGACGCAAGCATTATTTGATGTATTCTGTTTATGATTTATAACCTTATTAATCTGAATTAATAAACCTTGAGTAATTGTACAACATTTGTGTCAGTTCTTACTTCACCGCAGATGTGTTAGAGAGGGAGAAGTCAAAGTGAGAGAACTTAAACTTCGGGATGCCCTGGCTGAGAGAGATAGAGATTCAATTACACCGAGATATCATCAGTGAACTTAGATATATTAAGAAAAAAGAGCAGGAGGAGCTTTCAGAGGACACACGAACATGTGACACTTCAATTGAGACGTGTGGAAGGCTTTGCGATGTGTTGAAAAATAAAGGGATAGTCAAGGTTAGCGGAGGACCTAAAGCTCACCTGGAATTGAAAGAAACTCCAATGCAGCTTAAACAAGCAGAGATACAGGAGTTGAAAGAGAAACGAGTTAGTTATCAAGAAGAGGCATATGAGTTAAGGGACGTTCTAGAAAAGGCACAAAATCGGGAAAATGAAAAGATAAAAACCTTTGCCGCTGAATCCAGCCATGCAAAAAAAAAAGGGAAGGGTGGGGGCAATGAGGAGCAAAAGTTAGCCAGAGTGAAAATACATATGATACACCAGCGGATACAAGAGATGGCAAATGCTCTTCCCAAATTTGATGGAAAACAAGATGCATACAGTCATTTCAACAAGGTAGAGCGTGTATCAATACGGAAAACATTAGATGACACAGAACATTTTGGTTTACTGGTAGGTGCATTGTCTACATCAATTTTTAATACCTTACCATTAGACATAAAATATGGGAAAGACAATCTAAACTTAAAAAGAAACATTTTAAATGCTGTAGGATCTGATAGAGGAGATCCAAGTACAGCGTTGCACAAGTGTAGACAGACACCAGAGGAACATCCCAAATGTTACATAGACAGATTATGGGAAGCATTCAATCGAACATTTGGTCCAGGACTAGATCGTAGTGATCTGGATCACTTTACAGAAAGGTGGCAGAGTGATTATTAACCTTTCCCTACCATCT